AAAATAAAAGTAAAGATCACTGCTCCCTAAGGACATTAGGACTCAACCTACAGTCCTAATGTCCTTGGTGGAGCCCTACATTCCGAGCCATCCAGTGGTCTTCTTGTCTAGTTAGCATACAGAAGGCTACAATGGAGGAAAACACTTTATAGTAGAAAAAATCTGTTACTATGCTGACAGAAAATTAAGTAACAGTTCTATAAATGTTTATACTTCTAAATAAAATTAAATCCATATAAAAGTATTTATGTGGTGTTAAATACTTTTGTTTTCTAAAACAGGTTTTTTATGAAACACTAAATTTTAACTATTCTGACTGCCTCATACAATAAGGGACTAGTAGTACAAGCTATTTAAATATTTCCTTATCAATCCAACGAACATTTATCAAATACCACAAGTAAGAAGACCTGATTCCTACCCAGGAGAAGTGTCAGTAGCTCCACCTTGTTTCCTGAAACCATTTCTATACTGTGTCCCAACTTGCACATTTTTCTTAGTGACCTGCTTATACAGGATAGTAAGAAGCTAGGAAAATTCCTGGGCAAGTGGAATGGGAAACTCAGACAATAATATCAAACAAGACCTAACAGTTTGAGCAACATACAGCCAGCTGGTGAATTGCAAGACCTTATCTTCTTTAACCAAGGACACTTGAGAGCAAATGGTTTATACCTCTCCTCCTTAATCACAGAATACATAGCCTCCCTGGCCATAAACCACAGGTGTCCTGGGAAGAAAGGAATGCTAACGCAAATTCAGGTAACACTAGAACGAAGGGAACTACTTGGGGAAGAAGCTGTGCGACTCCCCTGCCGGCTGTCCTCCCAAGAGAAACCACATGTCTGCACATATGTGCTTCCCTTAGGAATTTCCTCCTCCCAAATTCCCACGTTTTCCCATATAAATTTGCTTCTAAGAGCTCAAGGGAAGATGGTCTGTTTATGTACATAACGCGCTGCCTTCTCAGATTGCCAGCCATACAAATGAATAAAGTGCTCATAAAAATTGAATCCCTGTCTCTGCTTATTGGTTCTGGGAGTGACAGGCAACATGAATACAGACTTTTTTCAATTTCACTGTGAAGGAAAAGGGATTCTGTGTAAATGCTACATTTTATGGTGACTTGGAAACATTGTGTATCTTTTGGTAATTTTCCCAGTTAAGTGAGCATAACTAACAGACCTGTCCCAGAGTCACTGCCCTTTGTGGTATTGCTTTCTGGGCCTTTCTCGGCTTCAGATTGAGCTGACGAAGCTATTTGTTTCATATTCTCTTGAGTTAAACTTCATCCCGTTGAAACAAACATTTTCTAAAATGTCTCAAGAAACTTTATACTGTCTCCTTCAGTTGTCAATTACTGTCTTTGTTTCTGTTCATTTATTGATGTAATAAACATTCACTCCCAATCTAGTATGTATTAGGCACTGGGTTAGATAAGGCTACAGAAATGCATACAGTTTTCACTACGGAGGTGCTCAGTCACTAACAGGAACACAGGTGGGTGAATAATTACAACGCAGGACAGCTGTTGAGAGGAGGGAGCTGCCCTTGGGAGGGAGGCCAGATTTAGCAGGAATAAGTCGGGAAAGATCCAAAGAAGAAGAACAATCATCATATTTTCCAAATGCAAATTCTTACCTTTTTAAGGAGATTCTGAAGGAAGCTGTGGATTCTTTAAAAAACAAACAAAACCCAAAACTTTGCATATGCAATTATCTACCCATTCCTTGAAATCCCATATATCTCAGGGTAAGAATTCCTAATATAAAGACATTTTAATATTTTCGGTCCAAATAATTCTGTGGTATAAATAGCCGAAACATTTCTTATTCTAAAACATGTTTTTCAGGTTTTTAAGGTAAGTACTTTGTAATAATATTCTAAATGACACCCTATCTTGTCTATAATGATGTTACAGACTTCAGTTATACAAGCTTTATTCCATTGCTAGCCTATATGTCATAGTTGTAATTAACTCATATTTTGTAATATGAATTAATTACACCACACATTACTGCCAGTATCATACTCAATGTGCAAAAACTAAAAGCTTTTCCCTTCAGATCAGGAACAAGACAAGGGTGTCCATTCTCACCATTCTCAGTCAACATAGTACCAGAAATTCTAGCCACAGCCATCAGACAAGAAAAAAGAAATAAAAGGCATTCCAATTTGGAAGAAGTAAAACTGTCATTATTTGCAGACAACATGATGTGTACATAGAAAACCCTATACTCTCCACTAAAAAAAAACTTCTTGACCTAATAGATGACTTTGGCAAAGTAGCAGGGTACAAAGTCAATATTCAGAAATAGATGGCATTTCTGTACACCAATGAACTATCAGAAAGAGAAACTAGGGGAAAAAATACCACTTACTATAGCAACAAGAAAAATAAAGTACCTAGGAATAAAGTTAACCAAGGAAGTAAAAGACCTATGCTTGGAAAACTATAGATCACTGAAGAGAAACATTGAGGAAGTAAAAATAAATGGCAGTATATATACCCTGTTTATGGATTAGAAGAATTAACATTATTAAAATGCCCATATACCCAAAGCAATCCATAGATTCAACACAATCCCTATTAATATACCCCTGGCATATTTCACAGATCTTAAACAAATATCCCAGCCCTGGCTGGTGTGGCTCAGTGGACTGAGCACCGGACTGCAAACCAAAGCATCAAGGTTTGATTCCCAGTCAGAGCACATACCTGGATTGCAGGCCAGGTCCCCAGTGGTGGGGAAGTGAGAAGCAACCACACACTGATGTTTTTCTACCTCTCCTTCTCCCTCCTTTACCCTCTCTAAAAATAAATAAATAAAATCTTTTAAAAAGTACTCAAAAAAATTTTTATGGAACCAAAAAGACCCCTAATAGCCACAGAAATCTGGAGAAAGAAGAGCAAAGTTGGAGGAATCACAATACTTAATTAAAAACAAAACTACACCACAAGACCACTGTAATCAAAACACTGGTACTGGCATAAGAACAGGCACAAAGATCAATGGAACAGATAGAGAGCCCAAAAATAAACCTATGTCTCTATGGTCAATTAATATTTGACAAAGAAGGCATGAGCATGCAATGGAGTAAAAATAGTTGCTTCAATAAATGGTGTTAGGAGAACTGGACTGGTACATGCAAAAAAGTGAAACTAGACCACCAACTTAAACCGTACACCAGAATAAACTCAAAATGAATAAAAGACTTAAATATAAGTTGTTATACCATAAAAATCTGAGGAGAAAACATAGGCAGTAAAATTTTAGATATCCCACATAGCAATATTTTTGCTAATATTTTATCTCCTAGGGCTAGGGAAATAAATGAAAAAATTAACAAATGGGACTACATCTAATTAAAAGGCTTCTGCATGGCAAAAGAAACCATCATCAAAATGAAAAGGGAACTCACTGTATGGGAGAACATATTTGCCAATGACACATCAGACAAGGGTTTGATCTCCAAAAATATATAAAGAACTCATACATTCAATATCAATTAAGGAAGACAATCCACTTAAAAAGTGGTCAAAGGACCTGAATAGATACTTCTCCAAGGAAGACATATAGAGAGCCCACGGATGTATGAAAAGATACTCAACATCACTAACCATCAGAGAGAATCAAATTAAAACCACAATGAGCCCTGGTTGGTGTAGCTCAGTGGACTGAGCACAGGCTTGCAAACCAAAGGGTAACTGGTTCGATTCCCAATCAGGGCATGGTGCCTGGGTTTCGGGCCAGGCCCCCAGTAGGGGGCATCCCAAAAGGCAACCACGCAAACTGATGTTTCTCTCCCTCTATTTCTCCTTCCCTACCCCTCTCTCTAAAAAATAAATAAAATCTTTAAAAAAAAAACCCACAATGAGATCTCACCTCACATTTGTCAGAATGGCCATCATCAATAAATCAACAAACAACACATGTTGGAGAGGATGAGGAGAAAAGGGAACCCTAGTGCACTGTTGGTGGAAATGCAGACTGGTGCAGCCACTGTGGAAAACGGTATGAAATTTCCTTGAAAAACTAAAAATGGAACTGGCTTTTGACCCATTGATTCCACTGCTGGGAATATACCCTAAGAATCCTGAAACATCAATTAAAAAGAACCTATGCACCCCAATAGCAGCACAAGCAATTAGGTTGCTTGCAACCTAAGTGCCCATTAGGAAATGAGTAGATCAAAAACAGATGGTATATTTATACAATGGAATACTACACAGCAGAAAGAAAGAAGGAGCTCCTACCTGTAGCAACAGTATGGATGGTCCTGGAGAGCATTATGCTAAGTGAAATAAACTAGTCTGTGAGGGACAAATACCATATGGTCTTACTTATAAGTGGAATCTAATGAACAAAATAAACTAAGGAGCAACATAGAACCAGAGACACTGGAAACATGAAACAGACTGACAGCCAGAGAAGAGAAGAGGGATAAGGGTGGAAAGAAGGGGAAGGGACTAGCCACAGAGCATGTGTGAAAGGTGTGGGGACTGACTGTGGGCCGAGTGGAGGAGGCGGAAAGGAGAAGAATTTGGACAACCGTAATAGACTAACAATAAAAAATCCTAAAAACATAAAAAAAAATAAAAATAAAGCAGTATGAAATTTAGTAATTTTCCACCTGTAATATGGTTCTTCTTTTGCCTTATTTCCAATTTTTTTTCTGAGGCTTTTAGGCTCAGACTTTACCTTTTGCCTTTGAAGACTCATATATGGCAACAAATTATGCTCACTTGGGGGTCAGTTATTAACAATTTTTAACTTAATCTTATTTAAACGTTTAAAACAAGAGTTAAGTATAGCACGTGAGCATTTCCTGCGTGCGGGGACTGAGAAGCTTCCGAGGATTCGGGAGAGTCCAGGGCTCAGCTTACAGTCATTCCCTTTGCTTCACTAAGAGGATTCAGGAAAGGAGGAACAGAGACTGTCCTGAGTTTATCCAAGGGCGAAGGACGGACTGAGAACCCGGCCGTGAGTTAGCGGAGGGTGAGGTGGCAGTGGATGCGGACAGCCACACCGTGGAGCCAGGCTGCTGGGTTTAAATCTCCCGCCTCCCCGAGGAGGCGACACCTCCGAGCACGGGTGTAGAGGGGCAGGGGCTGCCGGAGCGCCCCGAGCTCGAGGGAGGCAGCGGAACCAGTGCTGAGACGAACTCCGGGGCAGGGCGCGACCCCAGCGACGGCGGACCAGCCGGTCCAGGCTGCGGCGTTGTGGTGAGTGTCACTGGCCTCCCCGCAGCCCCACGTCGCCCCGAGGCCAACCCGAGGCCAACCGAAAGCATCTTCCGCCGCTGCCAGGGCCCAGCGGCCAAACCCGTGGTTTCCATGGCGACGCCCCAGGGTAGAGGCGCCCCCACGCACTCAGCACTCACACTGTCTCTCCGGGACCCTGTGGCCTTCCCTCTTGACCCGAGATCCTCCGGGCAGAGCTGTGGCGGGCTCCTCCTGGGATGAGAGGAGAGCCCACCTGCGCTCTTGTGTGGGTGGGGAGCGTGGTGGCGGCCTGAGGCTGGTTTCAGTGATTTCCCCCAAGTGAAGAGCCTGCCATCAGAGGCCAGTGCTCACAGTCTTTAGGTGCTTTCCTACTGACCTCCTTTTGGTGTGCTTATTCTTATGTCATTATTTTGAAATGGGAATGTCTTCTTTAAAAACTAAGTGGAGAGTGGTGGGTAAAAACAAAACGTAAGTAAATGTACGGTTTAAGGTGAACAGCGGAGTGCACGAGCTCCGGTGGGGTTCCGCGCACAAATACTGCAGCCGGGGCCTTGAATCCAGCCCCGCGCATGGATCCGGCTGTGGAAACACCGGTCATCTGGGCAGGTGCCCAAATGATGTCAGGATCAGATGCCTGCCTCTCGAGAAAGGTGGGGGTCGACGGGTTTGGGGGAGGGGGGAAATCCATCCTGGCAACCAATCCGCGGTACTGTGGGTTTGCCAATAGAGGGGGTGGGATTATTTTTCATGTAATGGATGATGATGATGCACAGAGCAGAAAAACTATTATAAACTATAGGTCCCTGTGAAATAAGTTATTGGGAAGGTAACGTTTATCCCTGGTTTTTGGTTTCCTCATTTGATTCTGATTCAGACAATGTACTGTAAGGTGATATTACTTTAGTCATCTTCACATGAATATTTATGGAGTAGCCACAAGTGCCTCAGGCTTTAGTAGGACTTAATTATGCATTTTTTGGCTAAATAATCATCTAATATTATGTACATATTTTTATTTGAAAAATTTTTAATCTTTTTATATATCTTGTCTGTGCCTCACATACCCAATATTCTCTGGAATTTCTGTATGTATTTAATAGTGCAAAATCAATGCAGATCTAGTCATTGAAACAATTGAATACAGGGTACTGTTCTCATTACAAAAATCATCAAAATTTTAGAGTTAAATGAGTGCTCAGAGATCAACCAGTCCAAAGTGCAAAAGCTGGAAACAGGCTGATGGGAAAACTAGAAAGCCATGTTTTTTGTTTTGTTTTTTTTAACAGCATTTTAAAAAATTTTAATTGTTGTTCAGGTACAGTTTTGTGCCTTTTACCCTCATCCCTGCCCACCCCACCCCCACAGCCCTCCCCACCTCCCTCCCATTTCCACACCCCCGCCTTGTTATTGTGCATGTGTCCTTTATACTTGTTCCTGCAAATCCTTCCCCTTTTCCCCTGAAACTCCCTCCCCTCTGGTCACTGTCAGCCTGTTCTCAATTTCAGTATTTTTGGTTATATTTTGCTTGCTTGTTTGTTTTGTTCATTAAGTGCCTGTTAAAGGTGAGATCATATGGTATTTGTCTTTCACTGCCTGAGAAAGCCATGTTTTTATTACAAACATTTATTATAAAACAATAAAATAGTATTTATACCAATGACTGGACTAGGACAAAATATTAAATATCAGATCTAAAACAGGTAATGTAATGTTTTGTTCTACTATACTGTCAAACTTGTGATTTTATTTTGTGATACATCTTATATTTAAAATTTATTTTTATAGTTTACCTTTTTTAGTGCTTGCTGTAGCTCTTTAAAATTTTGTCTTTTTATATTCTCTAACAATAACAGATGAGTTGTGTGACTTTTAAATATGTGTAACTGTAAATATTTCCTCATGGGAAGTGGCTTTTGTTATTTAATAATATCCTTATTCCCTTCTTGCATTTGTCTATTTTGTCAGTTTTTCATTCAACCCTTAAGTTTTTCCTTTTTTCTGAAGTCAAACTTTTCAAACTTGGATCCAATATTAACCATTAAAAGATAGTCACCTTCTATATAATTTATTATTATCATGATTGTCATTATTTCATTTTTGTTTTTTAAATATTTTGTTTATTTATTTTTAGAGAGAGGGGAAGGGAAGGAGAAAGAGAGTGAAACACCAGTGTGTGGTTGCCTCTCACACACCCCCAGTTGGGGGTCTGGTCCACAACCCATGCATGTGCCCTCACTGGGAATGGAACCAGCGACTCCGTGGTTTGAAGAGCATCATTCAATCCACTGAGCCACCCCAGTCAGGGCAATTATCATTATTGTTAATATTTTTAAACAAAGACTAAATTACTATAGCACATATATTTACAATAGCAACATTAACTGTGGCTAACATTGTCATATTTTTTCAAGTATTTTTTTTAGAATAAAGAAATAAAACATTTCCAATAAAGGTGAAGTTCTTTTTCTACCTTTACCATTCTCTTTCTTCCCACCTGATACTGCTTATTCATATTTTTCTTTCTTTTTGGCTTGGCCAGACTTGCTGGAAGCTTATCATTTTATTAATTTTTTTAAATAAGCCAAATTTTGACTGTTGATTTTCTCTCCTTTTTGCCTGTTTTCTCATATTTCGCTGATTGCTACACTTATTTTTTATTTTATTTATTCTACTTTGGGTCTAATTTTCTCTTCTCACTTCATAAGTTAGAAGCATAAATAATTGATTTTATACCTTTTTCCTTTCATATAGGTATTGTAAAGCTATAAGTTTTCATCTAAGCATGCTTTAGTTGCACCCTACAAAATTGGGTGTTTTCATTATCATTTAGTTTAAAATATCTTAAAATTTCTCTAATTTCTTTGATCCATTATTTATTTAGATGTTTTATTTTATTTCCAAATATTTGGGAATTTCCTTGATAGAGCATTGTTATTGATTTCTAAATTACTGATGTTGTTGTCATAGAACATACTCTGTATTATTTTAGTATATTTACATTTATTTATTTTTTTCTGTCTAGCTTATGGTGTATTTTGGTGAACGTTCCACTTACCCTTGGGGGAAAGATTTTATTTATTTATTCTTAGAGGGAAGAGAGGGAGAAAGAAGGGGGCAGAAACACTAATACATCAACCAGTCGCCTCTCGTGCACCCCTACTGGGGACCTGGCCTGCAACCCAGGAATGTGCCCTAGGACATTGAACCAGCAACCCTTTGGGGTTCCCGGGCTGGCACTCAATCCACTGAGCCACACCAGCCAGGGCTGATTACTGCATATCTTAAAAAACCTTTCTAGGCATTCAGTCTTACTCAAATACCATATCTGATTGATTCTAAGAAGCACCTGTTCATAGTTTCACATCTCTGAAATCATTTTTGATATCTGAACTTTTATGTATCCGACAATTTATGATTTAAAAGCATGGTTGACTTTGTAGCTCTTATATAGAGATACATAAAATAATGATGCCCCTTTTAAAGATGGTGCCTTCAACTGATGAAATAGGATAATTACAAATCATTACTTTACCCCAAATAATTTTTATCTATAAGGTAAAATATCAGAAAATTTAATAATAATACAGTGTGCTGGTCAGTTCTAGTGAACAAACACTTTCTTGCATTACTGGTGGGCTTAAAAATGGTGAAATCTCTATGGAGGCCAATTTAGCAAATGGAAAAAAGTTAAAATACATATCTCTTTTGATTCAGCCATTAGACTTCCAGAAATTTATCTTATAGGTATACTTGCAAATAATACATATGTTTATTCATTGTAGCATGGTTTGATATAATAAAATTCTGGAAACAATCTAAATATTCCTCAATGATAGACTAGTTAAATAAATTATATCACATCCATACAGTGGAAAATTCCATGTAATATTCCCTTTCTCTTAGCACCGTACACAGTATGCACTTTTATCCATTATCTAATGCTGCTGTTACTGAGGAGATGTCTGAGACCAGACTGAATTATTTAATTTGTAGGTGGCCCTGCTGCTTCTGTCTAGATGGCAATAGCCCTCTTTATTTATTCTTAAAATTCAGCAACATTCCATAATATATCTTAGTCTTAATCATTCCCTATTAATTTTTCCTGGGACATAATGAGCCCTTTCAATTTTTAGCTTTATTTCTTTGAATGTTTGGCTGTTTCATGTGTTTGTCTCTCTCTGCTCAAGAATATTATGTTAGATTTCAGTTGTTTCTCTTCTAAATCTATCATCTTTGTTCTATCTGTACAGTTTATTTGAATCTAGGCACCTTTATCACGTAATCTCCATTCTGAATGATTTCGCAGGCTTGTCATCCATGTTATTAACTTGGTTTTCTGAAATATCTATTCTACTTTGAGTTGTTTCTAATGTGGTTTCAGTTATGTGTATTTTCCCCTCTTTTTAAATATCTTTTGCTTCCTTCAGCTATTTTAAAATACATGGAGGTATAATTTACATGTCAGCATTCAGAGTAGTTTTTCTTTAATATTTTATGAAGCAGTTCTTCAAATGTTTATATATTTTCTTTTTCACATTATGGCCCCCTCTTTTTATTTTCATGCAGTGGTATAAATGCATGAAAACCCCCTTCCAGGGGCCATTAAAATAACTGCCTTAGAGGCGGGATAGGAAACTGGATACATTATTGTGGTCTCTCTTCTTCAGCTGGCTGCTTGGTGACAGTTTTCACATGCTTTCTCTCTCTGAGCAGTTTCACACAGCATGTATTAGTCATTGGCTTCGGAGGCAGGCAATGCTAACAGGTATCCCTCACTAGTCTACTTTAGTTGGCTGTGCAAGATTCACTTCCAGCCTGCTGTTTCTTTTTCTCTGCAGCCGTAAATTGACTCTTGGCAGAGAAAATAAAAAACATTCTGGCCACCGTAGGTTTTAGGGAGCCCAATGTGTAATACTAATTGCTGTTTTGTTTCCTCCTGAGATTGGAACCAATTTAGCTGTAGTTGGAGAAAGGAAGCAGATGGTGATAAAAATATCAGCTTTATTCTTGAAAGAGCTGTTAGAAGGTATGTTTGGTATGATATCAGTGGTGTTCTAATACTTCAGATCTGGAATTGTCCACCCAAAGGAAAGTTTGAGTCTCCATAAAAGGCAATTTACAGGAGACTTTTGCCTCAAGCTGACTAGGCCACAAGTGGTGATTAAGAGGTTTTTTAAAAAGGGATTAAATTTCCTAATTTTTAGACTTTTGATGAATTAGCTCTATCCAGTCAAAAATGTAAATGGTAAACTCATCAGTCAGATTTCTTACTTCAGGAGAAAAGGGCAAGAGGCTGGGAATATTTATGGAAAATCCATCCTCGTGGAAACCAGAAGAGTTGAAAAGAAGCATGCCCCACTTTAAACATCACAATCCCTTCCTGAGTAGTCTTCTTTGCTAGCCTCTGATAGGGAGATAGCCACCAAGTGGAATGCTGTATACTTCTTCCATAAGTCTCCCCGCTATGCCTTTAAGGATTCATGTTTCCAGGTTAGGACCCACTCAATTTGCCAAATTGAGATTAGAGGAGATGCGTATCAGATTTAGACCTTTTTAACTTTTAAAAAATTTATTGATTTTTTTTGAGAGAGAGAACATTGATTTGTGGTTCCACTTATTTATGCATTCATTGGTTGATTCTTGTGTATGCCCCAACTGGGGATCAAACCCTCAACCTTCGTGTATCGGGACGATGTTCTAACCAACTAAGCTACCTCGTCATGACTGGACATCATCTTTATGCTTCATATTTCATTGTACTGATATTGATTAGTTGCCAACAGATGCAGCCATTGTGCACAGGAGTTTCCTTCTCTAATTTTGGTCGGGGAAGGAATTATGCAAACATGTACTCATTCCCTCATCTTTCCCACGAGCTGTTAACATTTTTAATCATTACTCATCTGACAGATGAAGGTATTGTTTTCATTGTGCATTTGTACATATTTAGTTACAAGAGAGATTAAATAACATTTTTGTGTATTCACTGGACTTTTGAAGTATTTGTGTGTGTGAATTGCCTATTCTTGTTTTGTCCTTTTTTTTAAAAGATTTTATTTAGTTTTAGATGGGGGTGGGGATGGAGGGAGAAAGAGAGGGAGAGAACATCAGTGTATGGTTGCCTCTTGCACACCCCACACTGGGGACTTGGCCCACAACCCAAGCATGTGTACTGACTGGGAATCAAACCAGCAACCCATTGGTTCTCAGGCCAGCACTCAATCCGCTGAGCCACACCAGCCAGGGCTGTCCTTATTTTTCAGTTGGTAAATTTGTATTTTCACTCTCTAGTTATGAATTTCCTAACCTAAAAATATTAAATTTTCTTCCTCATATCTTACCCAGTTATTCCTTTTCAAATTTTGCTTATGATCAATTTTGTTATATAAATTTAAAATTTCTATGATCTGCATGATTTTCATGCCTGGTACCATGCTGGAAATGTTCTTGACCCCAAATTATGAAACATTTATCTATATTTCACATGGTAATGTTGTAAGGTTTTAATATTTAAATTTTGAACCATCCTTACATTGACTAAGAATCAAACACTTTTTCAAATAGATAGTTGTCCCAGTAATATATATGGAGTAATATTGCCCTTTCCTACTGATTTGACATCCTACATTGGTTGTAGTGAGTTGAATGTGACCCCCAAAGATAATAGGTCCTAATTCCTGAAGTCTGTGAATGTTACCTCATGTGGTAAAGTTTTCATAGGTTGGAATTGAGGTAAGGATCTTGACATAAGATTATTCTGGACTGACTAGGAGGGTCCTAAATGCCAATATCCTCATTTTAGACAGAGGCAGAGGGAGATTAAACACATACACAGAGGAGCAGGAAGTGAAGCGAACACAGAGGCAGAGACTGTAGAGGAGGGAGACCAGCAGCCACCGGAAGCTGGGAGAGGGAAAGTTTTCTCCCGTAGAGCCTCCCAGAGAGCACAGCCCGGCTAACACCTGATTTCAGACTTCTGCTTCCAGAAACGTGCAAGACTACATTCTTGTTGTTTTAAACCCCCCAGTTTGTGGTAATTTGCAGTATAACTTGATCACATACTATATTCTTTTATATTCTTTTGGTCTCTGTGGGTTTTTTTTTTCACTTGTTTCACTGCTCTATCTGTTTTGGTATATTATTCTGTTTTAATTAGTAAGGTTCATATTCAGGTTGATTTTTCAAAATTATCATTATTTTATTAAATTTGTACATATACACAACTTTAAAATTCCAATATTAAAGGATTATAGTGCACAGAAGCATTCACGTCCCCATTCCCATCTCCAGTGGCATCTACCTTCAAGCCTTCTGCTTCCTCGTATTTTCTGCTGTTCTTATACATCATGTTTATATGCTGCTCTGTGATTTATTAACTTAAGGCATTACCTACTTACTTTCCATATGGTAAATGAGGACTTAGCTATCCTTCTCCACCACAATCTCCACGTGTCCTTCCCCAAATAGCTATATTACAGTTTTTATTATATCAAATGTTTGTTACTGTGAACTATGAAGTATTGGAACCACCTATACCTCCCTATAGTGCCCTATAGGGCACTATAGGAGGAATAGTGCCCTATAACCATTCCTCCTTTTTTGAACATCCTATCTCTTCATTTTTATTGAAGTTACTATAATTGACTAATTTTCTGAATACCACTTCCCCTTACTGCTCTAACATTTCTGCCATGTGATTGTGAGCAATGTGCTCAGACATGTCGGTTATGTTTCCTGGAGATCTCCTGTGAGACTCTTTCACCTCCTGCCTGAATGTGGGCAGCTGGTTCCACGCAGCTGTCCTCTTGTACCTTCTTTTCTTTGCTCTTCTGGGCTGGATTTTGTCTTCTCTCTGAGAAATCTGCTTTTATTCTGACTACCAATGCTCTGTTCGTGATCTTTTTCTTTTAAAACTTTCAAGATCTTTTTATATAAAGATTTGTGTCCTTTGGTTACAAGAAAATTTCAATTACTTCTTCCCTTAGGCAATCTTTAGAATAATCTTGAGTCAAATATTGGACTTCCTTGATCATCTCTTGTTCTCTTATGCTTTTTATGGTACTACTTTCTGAGAAGTTTTTTTCAACTCTTTCATTTTTAAATGTCAGCTATACTATTTTTTTGCCCAAAGGTTCTTTCTTATTCTTTTTTTATTGCTTTCTAAGTGGTAATCTGTTCCCCCCGCCCCCACACACAGGAGCAGTGTCTTTACTTATCCCTCTGAGGGTATTAGTTATAGGGTTATGTTTTGTTTTGCTCCCTATATTTTGTTTCCTTTCAACTATTATTTCTTCTATCTGTGGGTTTAGTTCAGAGATCTTTCTTGATGGAGTCTTTCCTCAGGTATTTGGTGATCTTTGGGTTTCAATATAAGACTATAAAAAGCTAGTTGGAAGCTTTCTGCATATGAGTGAGCCTGTCTACTGGCGAGTTTTGCTGTACTGTGAATAGGCAAGGATTCATCCCTTTATTTTTATTTTATTTTTGTTATTTTTTTATCCTCATCCAAGGAGGAGAGAGGGAGAGAAACATGGATGCAAGAGAGAAACATTGATTGGTTGCCTCTCGTATGCACCCTGACCAGGACTGAACCTGCAACCCAGGCATTTGCTCTGACCAGGAGTTGAACCCACGCTTGGTTGGAGCATTGACATTATGGAACAATGCTCCAACCAAGTGAGCCACACTGTCCAGGGCAATAATTTATCCTTTTGGAACAGCACATTTCAACTTGTGTACTGCAAAAATTGTAAAACATTCAATACCTGACTATTTATTCAGGGGCACTGACCTCTTTTCCCTTAGACAAATAAGAAAGTGACAACAGCCAACACAACTATAGCCATATGGTGTGAATGAATCAAAACTATACCTATTTTTTTGTCAGACTGGCAGAAAATATATTTTTTGGTGTGCAGCAGAATATTAGTAATTAATTTATGTATGCCCTGAGATGAAAAAGGTTGAAAATCACTATTTAGAATGTCCGATGACATACTCCTTTTCTCTGGAGCTTTTAATATTTTTTAGAGAAAAGAATGTTCCAGTCTTTTCTGAGAAGTGTAGGTGTAGGTTGTGTGCATGTGAATGCTTTGCTACTGGTGAGCAAAAGAGAGCTAGACGTTTGACTTTCCCTTCATCACTTTGTTTTCAGGCCAAGCCCTCTGCCGTGTTGTGTGCCACGTCCAGAGCTTTCCCGATTCAATTTCTTCAACCTCCACTGAGTGACGCAGATTTGGGAGGGGCCTCAGGTTCCAGCCAGCTTTACGCAAACTTCGATGAATCCTCCTTCTACTTCCAAATGGTGAGTCTTTCAGATATTCCAAGGCGTAATGACTCACTTCTTATTAGCATTTCTGCATTAGTTCCTTAGGTTACTATTTCATGTGCTGTCTTCAAAAAAGTAACTGAAGTCTTTCATTTGCTTTTGTCAGTATACTTTGGTATACTTATTCTGTCTATACCTTTAGTGTTCACCTTACTTTTTACCTTCAATGTTATTTTAGTGGGTTTGGGAAGGAAAATCCGGTAAATGCACGTGGTTAATTCACATTTTCAGTAGGGCACTCTTGTAACGTACTTTAATATCTGAAAGGGCAAGTTCTTTCTCTTCCGGGTGATTCTCAGTATTGAGCCTTAGATTTTAAAATTTATATCCTATACATACTTACTTATTTGTAGGCTATAAGTAATACTTACAATTAAAGAATAATATCTTGTATACTTTATATTTTTCAAAGCAATTTTGCACACTATCCCATTTGATCCTAAAAGTATGACTGGCTTTGCACTTGGGTACATTGGGTATGGCAGAGAATTGGGAGAGGCACCGGCCTGACATTTGCAATAAAGTCGGAGATATCATTCTAAAGTTTCATGGGGAATTAGTTTTAATATCATTTTAACATACGAATTTAGTATTTGCTGCTTTAAAGTATCAAAAACATTTGAAATACATTTTTTCAGCCACTTTCAAAAAGATAATAATATTTTCTTCTCTAGTTCACTTGCCAATACATTTTTAAAAAACTTTTCAAAGGCGTTTTAAAAACATTGTATTTATTTATTTTTAGCTAGGGGGAAAGGGAGGAAGAAAGGAGAGAAACACTGATGTTGTGAGAGAAAAACGTCGATTGGTTGCCTCTCACACACCCACACCAGGGACAGAGCCTACACCCCAGGCATGTGTCCTAACAGGGAGTCGAACCTGCAACCTTTTGGTTTGAGGAATGACACCCAGCCCACTGAGCCACACCTGTCAAGTTCCTAATATGTTGTTTATATTTTGAATGGTCTTACTGATTTTCTTCAATATTTTTCAAGTCTTATTTTTTAATAATCTATTTTATTTGCTACTCATATATGAGGTCTGTCCAGAAAAAGCCTAACCATTGTTAATATAGTAAGAATGGTTTGTGTGACATCGATGTAACCTGGCAGCCAAGGAGAGTGGACTGGAATGTGCATGTGTGAACAATGATGACTTCACTGTACTAGTCAGTGGGGCAGCAGACACAGTTGAGTGAGCATGTGTACTGTGTGGCCATCACATTCAAAGTGACTGAGTGAGTAAAGCAATGAATCTGCATGGAATTTTGCATTAAGCTTGAACATTTCTCCATGGAAACTATTCAGATGATTCAGAAGGCCGCAGCTATGAGCAGCTGGTGATTGGCAGCTTCATCACAACACGCCAGCTCATGCATCACATCTCATGCAGTGTTTTGGTGAAACACCAAATCACCTAGATGACTCAGCCCCTCCACAGGCCAGATTTGGTGCCCTGTGACTTCTGGCTTTCCCCAAAACTAAAATCACCTTTGGAAGGAGAGAGAATTTGAACTGTCAATGAGATTCAAGGAAAATACTACAGGGCAGCTGATGGCCATTGGGAGAACTGGGAGAACAAAGTCCCAAGGTGTCTACTTTGAAGGGGACTGAAGCATCATTTTCCTATATACAATGTTTCTTGTATCTTGTATCTTCTTCAGTAAATTTCTCTATTTTTCACGTTATAGTGGCTGGATACCTTCTGGATAGACCTGTATTCTTTATGAAATAATATGATTAAAATGGTATATTAATGATATTTCCGTAATAAATTCTTAAATCTGTCAGAAAGTCTGAAAAGTAGATAATGGTCCATAACCATATTATTTTGGGAACAAAAAAGATCTAATTTGTCTTCTTTATATAGCCTCTTCTTTACAGACTAAAGTTATGCTGATTACTAAAATTATAGACTTACTTATATAAAAAAATCAACCTTATTTTAACTAGAAATTCAAATGTGGTTTGCAGTGTAGACATTAACTTTGTTAATGACTTCTCTTTATCATTTTTATTCTTATAAGTAACATTCTTTTTATATACCTAATTCTAAAAAACCTATGGGTTAAAATTAGAAAACTAATATTGTATGTTTAAGTAAACTGACTGTAAAACAGAAGACAACTTTAATCACACTTTTACCACCTTCAAAAATGAAAAAGATCACTGCCCATGGAGTCAGAAGACCTGGATGTGTGCTAAGTATCAAGATGTCTTTAACGTATGTGTATCCTTGAGAAATTTACTTTAATTTTACAGAACCTCAGCGATGTTTTCTATAAAACTGGAATAATAAAATCTGCCATTTCTAGCTTTCATAATTATCATAAAGATCAAAGGAAATAAAATGTGTAAAACTGTTTTTAAAACGGTCAAGGGAACTACAAGTATAATACAATTATGTTAGTAAGTAGTAGTACTGAGATTATCAGAAATTTTTAAATATCTTAAGCCCTCTCTAAGACTTTACCTTTCATGTAGTTTTGAGTTCTTTTTGAAAAAATGATTAAGCTTTAGTCTTTTTATGAGAATAATAGGTCGAGGTGGTAACCTCTCTGCAGGCAACTTACCTGCTTAGAAGAAGATTTTCGGGTCTGTAATGGGATGGTGGTAATTGCCATAGTCTTTCTGTTTTAGATATACACAGGTGTGCATTTAATTTAATTTTATTGCATCAGTGTCTTATTGGTATATGATTATAGTGCCAAGTATATTACTTAAAACAAAGCTTGCATTTATTTAATATGTGCACAAAACTGACTTTCTTACTGGGACTGTTTGGAAATTTCAGCTAATTTAGTTCTGCACTAGTTCTGCTATCTCAGTGTATTTGTAAATTTTAACTACTCTAGTTCTGTAATGGTTCTAGTATCTCAGTAACAACTCAGTAACCAAACCATGTTTGGCTAGACAACAATTGAGGTCACCTATCTGAAAGGATTCATGTTTATAACCTGGATGTGATTCTAGCCTGATATTATAGCTGATAATTTATATAATATATCCTTTAGAGCAGTTTGAGGAGCAGGTTCTCTTTTTTTAAAATTTAATCTTTATTGTATTTTTCCCCATTACCATTTAGTACCCTTATAACCCCCTCCCTGCAGCAGCCACCTCACTATTGTCCATGAGTCCTTTTTCCTTAGGGGCTGGTTCTCAATCCATGACTTGAGAGTCTGTCTTTTATATCAGTAGTCCCCAACAATTTCAGTAGGCTTCATGACTTATACTTGTCTTTTATCCATTTTGAGTTTATTCTGGTGTATGGTGTAAGTTGGTGGTCAAGTTTCATTTTTTTTGCATGTACCAGTCCAGTTCTCACAACACCATCTATTGAAGAGACTATTTTTTCTCCATTGTATGTTCGTGACCCCGTTGTCAAATATTAATTGACCATAGAGACATGGGTTTATTTCTGGGCTCTGTATTCTGTTCCATTGATCTTTGTGCCTGTTCTTATGCCAGTACCAGGCTGTTTTGATTACAGTGGCCTTGTAGTATAGTTTTGTTTTATCAGGTATTACTTCAGTTTGCAGTGGCTGATTTTCTGCCATGACCCTTGGGATCCCCTCCTTCAGCTCATGATCAGCACAGATCTTGGGAGGACTTTGTATGTAGATTTTGGGGATCCCCTCCTCTTTAGCTGCCTCCCTTCCAGAATATTTTTCCTAAATTTCTGGTAGTTTCTAGCCTTGAACTCTATCATCTAATATCTCACACCATTTGGCTTTCTGCTCAACCTACCCCCAGTGGAAGCAGAGTTAGCACTGCCCTCAGTCAAAAACCCAAAATTGCGTAAATCTCATGTTTCGCAGATTTACCCACCCAGCTACTGTCCTCCTCTTGCTAGGGATGGTTTGCACTCTGCAGGTAGGATAGCTTCCAGAGAGGAAAAGGAGGAGTAAGTTCATTACTCTCAAATCCAGTCAGATAACTTAGAGATGAAGTTACTCAGAGATGAAGGATGATGAGGGAGTGGAAAGAAGCCAGGACATTAGTGATTGAGGTACAGCAGCCTGGAAGTCGAGGTAGGGAATGGATGTTCTCTCCTGATACTCCCTAGATTTTGTTCTAGTAACTGATTGGGTTTAAGCGTGCAGTCAACATAGTAGAAGAGATCAGTATTTTGTCATATAATTCGACTGACCCTCACACTAATAACAACCTAGGGGCAGGGAAACTAAACAAAAGCAAGTCAAGAGCAACCAGAGGAGGAAAGAAATTGAAGCAGAAAGATGAACTGTAAGTTTTCCCTCAAGACTCTGTGTCAGAAAAGTATAATGCTGTTTGTTGTTTTAGGTGGATTCCAAACAGCATACCATTGGATATAGTTTTCTGTTTTCTATGATTTGAGGTTCTTGGTCTTTAAAAGGAAGTTTGAATTTATCATACTAAATAGTGTAATTGTTCTTTTTCTATCATCTGAGTATATACTGTTTTTATGTTGCATTACTCCTATTTTTCCCACCCTTCTGCTGTTTTTCTTGTTTATCCCCTAGTAATTTATAAATTAGACATCCTATTTTTATTTAATTAGTAGTTACTCTAAAATAAAAAAAAGAATCTCTATTTCTTTACCAACATTAAGAATATGTTAGTATTTATTGATTCCCCTGGAAATGATGAATGAGTCACATACTGTAGTACTTCCCTTTGTTCCTATCTCCCATTTACTAGAGGAATTTGGGCTTTTAAAACTATTATTATTTCTTTTTTTTACTTCTCTTTAAGGAACACTTTTCACATTTGTCTTTCCTTATATAGTCATGTTAATCTTGTTAAGAACAATCACTTTGACATTAATTTTTAAGCTTATATAGGTTACAATTTCCATCTCTATGTTTTTATAACAGATTTCCCCTATACCTAAGATTTTATTTTTTGGGTACTAAAATATTTCTTTGAGTGATTTTTAAAGAGAGTGTATTTGAATCTTTGCATATCTGAGAGTATTTATTAAGTGTGTATTCTTTTGACATAGCAGTTATAACTACAGGAAGTTTTCCTAAGGAAATGATAGTGGTATACAAAGATGTGTGTACACATTCATTTTGCAGCATTATTACAAAAGCAAAAATTAGAAACTAATAAATGTCTACAAGTAGAAATTGGTCAGATAAAATAAAATTATTTCCAGTCATTATTGCAAAATCATTACCAGTTTTATTACCTTTGTCACCTAACTGAAATTAAGTATCATTAATCTTTTTGCCTGTTGCTTGTACAGGTTATAATTATTACCAGTATATCATATAGAGCAAATATTAGCATGCTTAGCTATTAACATTAATATACTATTTAACATCTTTTTAGTTTTTAACTCTATTAAATATTGACTAAGCAGATATTTGTTATTGGAAATATTTTAATTACATTTTTCCATTACCATTTACCCCTCTTATGTCCCCCACTCCCCAGCAATCACCACACTGTTGTCAATGTCCATGAGTCCGTTTTCCTTTTTGCTCCATCCCTCTCCCCATTCACTAACTACCCACCGTCCCCCAGAGCTGTCAGCTTGCTAAGTCTGTCTCTAGTGTGCTTGGTAGTTCTGTTTGTTCATTAGATTCCACATATGAGTGAAATGATACTGTATTTGTCCTCTTCTGACTGGCTTATTTCACTTAGCATAACTTTAATTTTAGTCTGTTCCTTATAGTCACTCCACGGATTCCTTTGGGCAGCCTAAAGCAGAAGATGACCAGTCAGTGGTCAGCAGAATGCAAAAAAAATACTGGAGAACTAAACAGATCTTCATCAAAGCCACTGGAAAGAAGGAAGATGAGCATGTGGTGGCATCTGATGCAGAACTGGATGCTAAACTTGAGGTATATGTGAGGATTCTGTGTATTTCATATTAGTGGTTATTATTTGGGACTCAAGGAGGATTATGACAGGTTTTTACACTGAAGAACTTAATGGGATAAATGCAAATTTGATAATAGAATATATCCATCTCTTAGATCTTCTGGATAGGAGGTCATAATTCTCAAAAATTGAGAACTGACAGAACCAGTGTTCATAAATTACATAAATCAGGAATTAATTTCTCTGGTATAAGTAGTATAGTTTTTAAGCTAAATGTTAATGAATTAATTATATTTCTAACTGATACCATATATTCATTATATATCATGTCATAATAGTTTAACTACATTTATGTGAAGCCTTACATCTCACATAAATAGCTAGACTTTTTTTTTCAATTATTAAGAGATAGAGTTATTGAAGTATTTGATAATGCATTTTTGGCTGTTTTTCATCTTAATTAAAAGGAATAATTACCATGAAACAACTTTAAACTTATAAGTAATTAAGCTAATTAGAGGAAAGGTCTCATGTATATTAATGAAACATCTGGATTTTAATTAATTAAATACCCACCTAAGTACATGTTTATTGATTTTTAAAGAGAGAGTAAGGGAGGGGAAAAGAGAGAGAAGAACAGCTATGTGAGAAAGAAATATCAATTGGTTGCCTCCCATACATGCCCTGACCAGGGACTGAATCTGCAACCTTTAGGTGTATGGAATGATGTTTCAACAAACTGAACCACTTGGCCAGGGCAAAGGTCTGGATATTTAAATGCAGATTTACTAATTACATGTACATGTACTAATTCAAGATAACTTGCACAAATATTTCCAAGCCAGATGCTCTGTTATGCTTGAAATATAATCATCTGTTGGGATTCTTAAAGATAAAGGTCACCCTGGTTGGTGTGGCCCAGTTGGTTGGATCATCATTCCAAGAACCAAAGAGTTGCATATTTGATTCCCAGTCACAGCACATGCTTGGGTTGTGGGGTTGATCCTGGCTGTGGTGCCTATGGAGGCAACCAATCAATGTTTGTCTTTCATATCAATGTTTTTCTCTCTCCTTTTCCTTCTCCCTTCTTCTCTAAGAGCAATGAAAAAAAATGTTCACAGGTGAGGGTACAAAAATTTTTTTAAATAAAGGTCTAACTAAATAGGGCTTAATGTATTAAGTATTTTCATTCATAGTAAGTAAACTGTGTCATTGCCCTAATACATATGGAAATAGAAAAATTATTTGAAAAGTATTCCTCTTAGGGTTCAAGGACAAGTGTTGGAAAAATAAAGAGACTTTATTTTAAGTATTTTAAAGTAAGTACTTTATGTTTTAACACTCAGAGAACTCTTCACTGTGTCCTCCTATATTCCCCAGAAGTAGATATTTTTGTATTGTTTTACATCATTAGGCAATCTGTGAGTGACATATTTTTTAAAAAGATTTTATTTATTTATTTTTAGAGGGGAAGGGAAGGAGAGAGGGAAAGAAACATCAATGTATGGTTGCCTTTCATGCATCCCCTGCTGGGAACTGGCCTGCAACCCGGGTATGTGCCCTGACTGGGAATCGAACCGCAATTGTCTGGTTCGCAGGCCCGCGCTCAATCCACTGAGCTACACCAGCCAGGGCTGTGAGTGACATATTTTACATTTTAGTGTTGTGCTTGTTCATTAGACAAATATTTTGAATTAGCCAAGAACTTTCTCCCACATTTGTACTATTTTTTTTAAGAATGAGAAATATTTTCATTGTTTGTATGCTTATATCAATCATTATGTTATATACTTTAAATGCACATTGATATTTCTTTTTTTCTCCCTCCCTTCCCTGCTCTCTAAAAAATGAATAATTAAAATATTTTTTAAATAAATAAATAGAATCTTATTTGTGAAATTATACTTCACTAAAACTAAAAAATATATTTTCATTGTAAAAATTAATAGCAATGGTATATAAATCTTTCAAGGACCATGGAAAAAATCAACCATAATCACTTTCTCATAGTACTGCTATCATTTTTTGTATTCTTCTCTAGTCTTCTTCCATATGGATTTAAAACAGCTTTTTAAGTTTCCAAATGTACATACCAAGTTCAGTTGAAACATATCTAAACTTACATGGAAAATTGATGGTTGCTCTCCATTTAGATTTTAGTGTCTGTTATCAATCTTCCTTAGTCCTAATCAAACATCCAAGTAGTAGCAAAAGTGCTTCAGAGATAGGATGATCAGGCTTAATGGTGATACTAGAAATTTTATTTATTTAAAGATTTTATTTACTTATTTTTAGAGAGGAGAAGGGAGGAACAAAGAGAGGAAAAGAAACATCAGTGTGTGGTTGTCTGTCGAGTGCCCCCTACTGGGGACATGGCCCACAACCTAGGCATGTGCCCTGACTGGGAATGGAACTGGCGGCCCCTTGGTTTGCAGTCCAGTGCTCAATCCACTGAGCCACACCAGCCGAAGCAGAAAATTTATTTGATAATATAGGATTAGGACTTAATATTTATCACAGGGCCAAGGTCTTTTTCAACTAAAATTTCATAGCAGCTCTTCACCACAGGAGTTTGTTAGAAGAAGGCCTGAACCCTAAACCTATACCAGCCATTTCTCTGGGAAAACTTCAGTTAATAGATATGTGTGAAGAGCTACCTCATGTGTATGTGTCCTAATCTCAAGTTTTCATGTTCTTACTTTGAAATGGGAATGTACTGGATAATTAATTTTTCTATTAGCTATTAGCAATAGTAGTAATACAGGAATTACATGGAATTCCTGTATTCCATTAAGTAATTCCATTACTTAAATGGAATTAAATTCCATTTAAACATTGAAATGTTTAAATAAAAATAATTTACAAGTAATTTATTTTTGATATTGTAGTACATTATTTAATTTTTATAGTGAATTCATTAACCTTTTGCTTAGAGCAATATTGGAGGAAAGCCAGCATCAGAGTTAACATTTTCTAAGGTTATCTATACTCTTCATGTGGTTGGCAATGCTCGATGCAGTTTATGTTGGAGTTACTCTTTTGCTCTGTAGACAGCTTGAAGACGAGGAGAGTACAAACTCTACAGTCATAAATTTTTATTAGCTACCAGGTAGCTAATAAACATCATGGGAGAAATTTTTTCTAAACATCATGGGAGAAATCTAAATGTGCTTTCTATATCAGAAATAAAACCAAAACTGAAGTACATCACATTCCAGGAAAAAATAGACAAAATACATACAAGAAAATGTTCTGCTTTTGAAGTGTTTATAAAAGATACTTTGTATTTATGGTTCTATAAATTGTCCTAATAAAATTTATATTTCAAAGGTTTTTCACTTCATTCAAGAGACATGCTCTGAACTCCTGAAGATAGTTGAGAAATATCAGCTAAGACTCAATGGTATGAAATTGTAGATATATGTCCTATAATTTCCACTTAATGTACATAGTTGAATGGAATGTTTAATATAAAAATAGTTTATTGAACTGTTTTGTGAGTAGTTTCTTATGACAACATATGAATATTTACAGTGAACTGGTCTCAAAGTCCCCAGTGTCCTCTGACAGATTCATTTCAGTTTTATTGCCCAGAATCTTAACTGGATTTGCTTCCATCACTTAAAAACTGTCTCTTGACCCCCCACTGTAGACTTTTTTAAAATTTGATTTTATAGGAGAAAGAGAGAAAAACAATTTTTTCCACTCATTTATGCATTCATTGGTTGATTCTTGTATGTGCCTGATCCAGGCATTTCAGGCTGACATTCTGACCAATGGAGCTACCTTGCCAGGGCTGTATGCACAGTCTTTATTCCTGTCCTTCCACTTTCTTTTCTACTCACTCCAGTTAAATTTTCTTCCCCATTACTCCACCAAATTGCTCTTGTCATAATCATGAAGAGCTGAACCCAGTGCCCAATTCTCCATCCTTACCTTACTTGATTCATCACATTACTTAACACAGTTCATTATTCTCTCCTTCTCTTGGCTTGGCTTCCAGGCACCATACTTCCTGGACTTCTTTCTACTGGCCATTCCTTCTCAGTATCCTGCCTTTGCTTGCTGGGTTCTTCTCTCTTCTCGACCTCTTCAAGTTGGAACTAAATTTTTGGATCTCTTCTCCTTCTTTAGTTGCAATGGCCTACTGCATGTTGCCACCTCCCTGAACCTGGTTACCACTCATTTCCTAAAACTCTCTTCTCTTTAGCCATATTGATCTTCCTGTTAAGCGTATCTGCACAGCAGGATCTGTAACTTCCTTTAGGTGTTTGGTCAGATATCATCTTTTTAGTGAGATCCTCATATCTAAAATGAAATATCCTTCTTTCTCATAACTTTCTTAACTACTTAACAATATTCAACATTTTATATATTTTATTAATGTTTTTCTTACCACCACTATAATATGTTCTCCCAATGGACAGGAATTTGTCTATTTTGTTTACATCTGTGTCCTCAAAGCCTAGAAATGATGTTTAACATGTAGTTTGTACTCAGTAAATATTTGCTCAATTAATGATATTTCTTCCAAGGAATGTCAATTAATCTCAAAACATTATAATCAGCCACGAGCTGTCTGGCTCAGTTGGTTTGGTGTTGTCCCACAAAGTGAAAAGGCACCAGTTGGATTCCCTGTCAGGGCACATGCCTGGGTTGTGGGTTCGGTCCCCGGTCAGGGCATGTACAAGAGGCAACCAATTGATGTTTTTCTCTCACATTGATGTTTCTCTCCCTCTCTTTCTCCTTGCCCTTCTCTCCAAAAATGAATAAATAAAATCTTAAAAAAATAAAAGAAGTGTTCAAAGTGATGAAAAGCAAGGACCTACAACCTTAATTACTCTATCCAGCAAAGCTGTCATTTAGAATTGAAGGGCAGATAAAGTGCTTCCAAGACAAGGGAAAGCTAAAGGAGTTCATCATCACCAAGCCATTATTATATGAAATATTAAAGGGACTTATCTAAGAAAAAGATCAAAACTATGAAGATTAAAATGGCAATAAATTCACAACTATCAATAATTGAATCTAAAAAGCAAAATAAGCAAACAAGCAGAACAGGAATATAATCATACATATGGAGATCATTTGAAGGGTTGTCATTTGGGAGGGGGAAGGGGAAGAATGAGGGAAAAGGTGCAGAGATTAAGAAGTACAAATTGGTAGAAAGGAAATAGACAGGAGGATGTTAAGAACAGTATAAAAAATGGAGAAGCAAAAGAGCTTATATGCATGACTTATGGATATGAACTAAGGGGGTGGGGATTGCTGGAGGGAAGGGGTATACCAGGCAGAGGGGGGCAAAACAGGAAAAATTAGGACAACTGTAATAGCATAATCAATAAGATATATTTTTTAAAGTAAAATACTTAGTCATATTAGTAAAAGTTTCTAAAACATTTCTTAGTTTTGGTACTTGCCACAGGCTGGTAACAAGTGGTTCTGGACTGACATTGGTTCGTGGCCCACACTTTGAGTAGTAAGGTGCTGCACAACAAATTTTAGGATTTCAGCAGCAAAATTGTGAACATCTGTGGGTCTAGGGTACTGAGCACAGGAAACTGAGCCAAGATAGAAGTCAATTATAAGGTAAATTTAGCCCTGGCTGATGTGGCTCAGTGGATAGAGTGCCAGCCTGCACACTGAAAGGTTGCCAGTTTGATTCCCTACCAGGGCACATGCCTGGATGCAGGCCAGATACCCAATTGGGGGCATGCAAGAGGCAAGTGGTTGATGTTTCTCTTGCACATGAATGATTCTCTCCCTCTCATTCTCCCTCCTTTCCTCCTCTCTGAGAATAAATAAATAAAATCTTTAAAGAAAAGAATAAGTTAAATTTAACAGGAAATGACTACTTTGTAAGAGGCAAATTCTAAAATGTATCTCTGCATATTTGAAAATGCATCATTTGAGATATTATTTGTCATTTTTTTTTAACTAAAGATCAATTTTTCCCAAGGCAAGTCTCATGGATTCACTGCAGCCAAGCCATCAGGAATTATTTAAAAAAAACAAATAGGTGGTATAGATAGATACACTGTGCCTTCTCGCACAATCAAAAGAAGGAGAACAACCAATTTAAAAACAAAAAGCAACCAGAACTGCCAGAAAATTGAACTCTATGAAAGTTTGATAACCAAGGAGTTAAAGAAAAACATTCATCCAGACCATTAGGAGGGGCAGAGATGGGCAGGTGGATGGAGAGGACTCACGGCAAGGCAGCAGATGGTGGACCAAATGAGGTGGCAGCTGGTGGAGCAGTTGTTCCACTTTTGTGTGCAGAGAAACTGGGAGGAGGACTTCCGCCAAGATGGAGGTATAGGTGGATGTGCCGTGCCTTCTCACACAACCAAGTTTAGGGACAACTAAATATTAGCATCAGAAAACACAACCAGAACACGGAAAATTGAACTTTTCGGAAGTCCGTTAACAACAAATTCTTCAGCCCGACCGGTAAGGGGCGAAACCGGCGTCTGTTGAGGGGTTGCACAGGAGGACTCGGTCGGACGGACCCAGGCGCGGAATCCAGACGCGTGAATCCAGACGCACGGGTTCCAAACGCAGGATTGGACCTAGTGAGCGACCGAGCAACCCACCAGGTGAGCCACTGCAGAGGAGACAGTGGGGAGGCGGTGCTGCATGTTGACTGCGGTCGCCTATTTGCGCACCAGTGGACAGGCGAGGGAGTGGGCGGTTGGACCGGCCGCGGCGGCGATACAGGGCGCCGCCATTTCCCCGCTCTGACCACGCCCCCACATACAGCGTCACAACCCAGCGACCTGGGAGTCCAAGGTGCCGCTTCTCACATTTAAAGGGCCAGAACAGACCAAAAATGTCGCAAGAAGACCTCAAAGCCCCAGAGATAAATCTAAGCGACGAAGAAATAGCAAAACTCTCAGACGCACAGTTTAAAACACTGGTCATCAGGATCCTCACAGATCTGGTTGATTATAGCCACAAATTAGAGAAACATATGAAGGCTAAACTAATGGAAATGAATGGAATTCCACAGGAAACCAATAGCGATGAAAAGGAAACTGGGACTCAAATCAATGGAGTGGACCAGAAGAAAGCAAATAATGGCCAAACAGAAAAGAGTCAAGGAGCAAGAATTCAAAGAAATGAGGAGAGTCTTAGGAACCTCCAGGACATCTTTAAACGCTCCAATATCCGAATTATAGGGGTACCAGAAGGGGGAAAGGCACAGCCACCAGTGGAAAACTTATTTGAACAAATAATAAAAGAAAATTTCCCCAATCTGGCAAAGGAAATAGACTTCCAAGAAATCCAAGAAGCTCAGAGAGTACCAAAAAAGTTGGACTCAAGAAGAAACACACCAAGGCACATCATAATTACATTAGCCAAAATTAAAATGAAGGAGAGAATCCTAGAAGCAGCAAGAGCTAAGGGGACAATCACCTACAAAGGAGTCCCCATCAGACTGTCAGCAGATTTCTCAAAAGAAACCTTACAGGCAAGAAGGGGCTGGAAAGAAATATTCCAAGTCATGAAATCTAAAGACCTACAACCAAGATTGCTCTATCCAGCAAAACTTTCATTTAGAATGGAAGGACAGATAAGGTGCTTCTCAGATAAGATCAAATTCAAGGAGTTCATCATCACCAAGCCCTTATTATATGAAATGTTAAAGGGACTTATCTAAGAAAAAGAAGTTAAAGAAACATGAACAGTGAAAGGACAACAAGCTCACAGTTATTAACAACCACACCTAAAACGAAAGCAAACTAAAAGGACAGCTAGATCAGGAGTGGAAACATAGAAATGAAGATCTCAAGGAGGGTTAGCAACAGGGGAGTGGGAGGAGGAGATGGGGGGAGAAGGTACAGAAAATAAGTAGCATAGACAGTAGATAGAAAATAGATGGGGGGGGGCAAGAATAGCATGGGAAATATAGAACCTAAAGGACTTGAGACACATGGACATAAACTAAAGGGGGGTAATGGTGGGGATGGGGGGCAGGGTGGAGGGGAATGAAGGGGGGAATAGAACAACTGTAACAGCATAATCAATTTTAAAAAATAAAAAAGAAAAAAAAGAAACTGGGAGGAACGACTGGGGAGCAAGACAGACTGAGCAACCCCAGGTTCCAGCATAGGGAAATAAAGCCTCAAAACCTTGAGTGAAAAGACCTGTGGGGGTTGTGGAAGCAGGAGAGACTTCCAGCCTCACAGGAGAGTTCGTTGGAGAGACCCAGAGGGTCCTAGAATGTACACAAACCCACATACTGAGAAATCAGCATCAGAACGGCCCAACTTGCTTGTGGGTAGGAAAGTGACTGAAGAGAGTGGAATAAGCAACATTGTTGTTTCTTGGGCCCCTCCCCCACCTACAGTGCTACAACACTGTGATTGCCCCACCCGGGTGAATACCTAAGGCTCTGCCCCTTACTAGTAACAGGTGAACTGAGACCAATAAAACAAAAATGGCCCAAATGAAAGAACAGATCATAGCTCCAGGAAAAATACAACTAAGTGACGAAAAGCTAGCCAACCTATCAGATGCTCAGTTCAAAACACTGGTAATCAGGATGCTCAAGGAATTGGTTGAGAATGGTCCCAAAATAGAAGAAAAAATGAAGGCTATGAAAAGTGAAATAAAGGAAAGTGTATAGACAACCAACTGTGACAGGAAGGAAACTGGGACTCAAATCAACAGTTTGGACCAGAAAGAAGAAATAAACATTCAACCAGAACAGAATGAAGAAACAAGAATTTGAAAAACTGAGGAGAGGCTTAGGAACCTCCAGGACAACCTTAAATGTTCCAACATCCGAATCATAGGAGTGCCAGAAGAAGAGGAAAAACAAGAAATTGAAAACTTATTTGAAAACATAATGAAGGAGAACTTCCCCAATCTGGGAAAGGAAATAGACTACCAGTAAGTCCAGGAAGCTCAGAGGACCCCAAAAAAGTTGGACCCAAGGAAGCACACACCAAGGCACATCATAATTACATTATCCAAGATTAAAGATAAGGAAAGAATCTTAAAAGCAGCAAGAGGAAAGGAGACAGTTACCTAGAAAGGAGTGCCCATAAGACTATCAGCTGATTTCTCAAAAGAAACCTTACAGGCAAGAAGGGGCTGGAAAGAAGTATTCAAAGTGATGAAAGGCAAGGACCTACATCCAAGATTACTCTATCCAGCAAAGCTATCATTTAGAATGGAAGGGAAGATAAAGTGCTTCCCAGATAAGGTCAAGTTTAAGGAGTTCATCATCACCAAGCCCTTATTATATGAAATGTTAAAGGGACTTATCTAAGAGAAGGAAGATGATCAAAACTATGAACTGTAAAATGACCATAAACTCACAACTATCAACAACCAAACCTAAAACAAAAATGAACTAAGGAAACAACTAGAACAGGAACACAAAATGGAGATCATAGGGAGGGTTATCAATGGGGAAGGGGAGGGAGGGAATGGGGGGAAAGGTACAGAGAATAAGTAGAATAAAGAGGTAGAAAATAGACAGGGGGAGGTGAAGAATAGTATAGAAAATGTAGAAGCCAAAGAACTTATATGTATGACTCATGGACATGAACTAAGATGGGGGAATGTGGTTGGGAGGAGGTGTGCAGGGCAGAGGGGAATAAAGGGGGGAAATGGGGATAACTGTAATAACAATAAAATACATTAAAAATAAACATAAATAAATGAAAAGTAAAAGCAGATCCTCTGAACCAGAAAATCAGAATCTTTGCAGATTGAGCTCAGAAACTGAATTTTTAAAATGTGTTCTTCCTGCCCCTCCATCCTCAAGTAGTTCTTGTATATAGATAATTGTTTTTGTAAGAATTTTACTTATATGTGTGTTTGAAGAAATGATAAAAATGAAACAACTATACTGTAATTTTTTCCTAGTTATATCAGAGGAAGAAAACGAACTAGGGATCTTTTTAAAGCTCCAAGCAGAAGGAGATGCCTCACAAGCTGGCAAAATGATGGCTGCCACTGGCAAGGCACTCTGCTCCTCGGCCAAGCACAGGTTTGCATGGTTTCGCATCATCCTTAACTCTGTAGTCAGTATGGCAGTTTTGATATATGCACCTAAGTGTGCCATTCCAGTAGGGGGTTAAAAGAGAAATATATTGCAGTATGCAATTGTTTTCATGCCTAACTCATTTTTTTGTATTTTAAATAATTATTTAGAAATTGACATTCTTCATTGCTTAATTCCTAGAAATGTACCTTAGGCCTATGTTTAAATTCATTAAGGAATTTAATGTAACAGAGGCATAGCATAGCTAAAATTTGAATATGTATAGGTATATATTTTACACTTTTTTGACTACTGTACTATCTATGACTACATTAGAGCTTTTTCAGCGGAGGAAATTTTTCTTCTTAATCACATACTTTGCATTTATCATTTTGCAGTTTTTTATCTTAAAAATACCCGCTTCAGAGAATTTCCTACAATTATTAAATACAGCAAAAAATCTTTGCATTTTCAAAGAAAAATAAAGACAGGCCTTATCAGACCTGTAATGATCATTGATAACTTAAGTTGTTTTCCTCTGAAACAACACATCAATGCCAAAGTCCATCGTTAAGGCAGTGAGATACTCAGTACAAGACAGTCAAAAGCTGACCAAGGAGCTGAGTTGACCGGATGTTTCTTAACTCCATTTTTTTTGTTCTCATACTCAGCTGCTAAGAATTTGATCCTCATTAGTTCTTCTAGTATTTCATCTGCTTTCCTATACCTAGGTTTTTCCTAAATTTGTCAGATAAAAGGCTATTTATAGGATAATGCTTTATAAATACAGGGTCTCTTTTACCCATGGAACTCTTTTCTAAATGGCACATTTACCTGACAAGTAATTAATATGTGGATTAACACTCAAAATGTTGCAAAAATGATATATTTTCTAAAATAAGAAAAGGGAAAGATATAGACACATCTTTATTAACAATTCAAAGTTGTCTATATGATCCTTATTTGCTTTCTAAAGCTCTTAGGCATCTTAATAATTTCCTATTTATAGACTTGACAGTAAATATGCTTTATGGTTGTTTTAAATCTTTGTGTGTTTTTTAATGGGATGTACATCTCTCTGAGTTTTACCTCTCTGCCATTAGATTGGCCCTGTGTACTCCCCTGTCTCGACTTAAGCAAGAAGTAACAACATTCAGCCACAGGGCAGTCTCCGATACCCTGATGACAGTTAATCGGATGGAGCAGGCTCGCACAGAGTACAGAGGAGCTCTGCTGTGGATGAAAGATGTGTCCCAAGAACTGGACCCGGACACCTTAAAGCAAATGGAAAAGTTCAGAAAAGTATGATGATATATCCTTCTCCTTTTCTTGATACATAAACCTGTTGCACTTCTACAGAATAACTTAATTAAGGTCAGACTATTTTTTAAAAATCTTCACCCAAGGATATGTTTATTGATTTTAGAGAGAGAGGAAGAGAGAGAGAGGGCATTGGGGGAGTGGGGAGGGGGGAACATTGATGTGAGAAACACTGATGGGTTGCCTTCTGTATGCTCCCTGACTGGGATTGAACCTGCATCCTAGGTGTGTGCTGTAACTGGGAATCAAACCTGTACCCTATTGATGTATTGGACAATGCCCCAACCAACTGAGTCACCCAGCCAGGGCAGAGCAGAGTGTTTTTAAGAAAATGTTATATTATAAATTCTTGGCTGCTTGGAGATCTTTTGTAACCGAACAAAAAATGGGTATAAGGCTGTCTATCACCACAAAAGCCAAACTCATGAAGCAAATGCTGGTGAAAAAAAGAAAAGAGGTTTTATTCAGGTGCTGCACATGATCTGGGAGAATGGCAGGCTCCTATCTCAAAGCCTATCTCCTCAGCAAGGCCAAGACAAAAACTAGTGTTCAGAGCCCCTGTTCCAATTTAAAATACAGTCCTTTGGAGCCTACAGGTGGCTGCTAAGTGGCCCTCATCCCCATCCAGAGCTTAGCTTGTTTCCAGCTGCTGTTCATTTCAGGCTCCCCGTTGGGGAGCCTGCGTGTGGTGCCCACATGGCCATGACCATGCAGTTGCTAAGGCTGCAAAGTCATGTTCTTCTGGGAGAGCACACAAATGCACAGGTCAGTGCGTCACCAAGCACGTTAGAAAAAGAGAGACTCTGCTGAGGCCAAGTGGCCCTTGGAAAGAACAGGCGAATGCACTAGCAGGTGCAGGTTACAAGCAAGCGAGCCATGATCCAGAGTTAGTTTCTTTGTTCCCCTGGGAGTATATTAGTTTGGTTGTGGGACAGACCAGGTGCTTTGGTGCTCTTCGGGTGCGTCCATCTCCCAAACAATCCCTTCTTTCTCCGGGCTAGACAACAGGCCTCTGGTCCAGCACCTCCACCATGCCATTTCACTTCAGTTATGTACGTGCCTACCTTCCCCTGGTCCTACCCCTGGTACTGGAATGATGTGGGCAGGGCTTTTTCCTATCTAATTATCCTGCTAGCTTTTTGCTCAGTGTAAGGACCTCCCACTGCTGCCATCTGCCAATGGGCAAAGATTCCCCTGCACTCCAGACAGTCTAGCAGTAACACTTTGGTTGAAGTACAAAAGGCTGTCACACTTTTTGGAAAATGTGCCCCCTCCCCCTTCTAGTCTTACCTAAATATTATTCATCAGTAGTTTTGGGTGTTACTTTTTATTTGGAATCTGTGGTTTTTTTCCTTCCTAACTATATACTCTTCATCTATCATTGCATATTTTCTCAACATAAAGATACCTGGAAAGAGTCTCATATAATTACTAAAAATAGCCCAAATGTTCACCATTAATTATGAAATAATAATACCAGGAAAGGAAATCAGTCTTCTTCATTATAATGTCATATGTCTGAAAATATGTGTCATGAATCTGTATGATATACTCATAATCTGTAACATTTTTGTGGTTGCAGGTACAGATCCAAGTGAGAAACAGCAAAGCTTCTTTTGACAAGTTGAAGATGGATGTTTGTCAGAAAGTAGACTTACTTGGAGCGAGCCGCTGCAATATGTTATCTCATTCACTCACTACCTACCAGGTACCCACCTTCATAGTCAGCATGTCCTAGCTGTAAAGATGAGTGGTGAGATTCCTTTTTAAAAGTTGTCTAAAATGATATAAAAATGTAAATTGATCAGATTCCTTTGATTTGCCAAAATTGACTTACTGAAGGTATGATGATCAGAAAATTATAGAATTCTAGACTGTAAAAGACCTTGGGGACCATCTACTCCATTAACTTCACAATATTCCCTTTGGTATCCTAAGAAAGAAAGACCTAGAGACCATCTAGGACTGAGGATTTAAGGCCCAGAGCCCTGGTTTACCTACAGCTACTCTACTTTGAACTCCTCCATAAAATTTCATGTGAAGCAAAGATGCTGTGGCCCCCAACATTTCATTGAAAAATTTTCTGTCATTTTATGGATGAGGAAAGTGAAACCTAAGAGAATTAAAGTAAATGGCAATGTTGGGCTTAAAAACGTACATTTTCTAATTCTAGGTTATGGGCTTTTTGTTTATTTGTTTGTTTTTAAATTCTGCCAAAGTTGACATCTACATCACTTCAACCTCAAAAGTCTCACTTGTACTTATATTAGTACCCCAAATCACATGTAAATAGCATACAATGAATAAGGTATATGTTAAAAAGTAGCAGGTACTGATTTTAACATGTATGAACTCCTGGGAGAGCACCACTTTGAATGGCAAAATAGGACAATAAACTACATTTACTTAAGAATAATAAACTATGACATAGGCCAATGGAACAGAACATAGAGCCCAGAAATCAACCCAACTCTCTACAGTCAATTAATATTCGACAAAGGGGGAAGTAACATAAAATGGAGTAAAGATAGCCTCTTCAACAAATGGTGTTGGGAGAACTGGACAGCTATGTGCAAAAAAATGAAACTTGAGCACCAACTTACACCATACACCAAAATAAATTCAAGGTAGATAAAAGACTTAAATATAAGCCGTAACACCATTAAAGTCCTAGAGGAGAACATCGGCAAGAAAATCTCAGATATTTCACACAGCAACATTTTTACCGATATGTCCTCTAGAGCAAGGAATATAAAGGAAAGAATAAACAAATGGGATCTCATCAAAATAAAAAGCTTCTGCATGGCTAAAGAAAACAGTATTAAATTAAAAAGACAACCAGCTGTATGGGAAAACATATTTGCCAACGATACCTCAGACAAAGGTTTGATCTCCAAAATATACAAAGAACTTACATGACTCCACTCTAAGAAGACAACTAACCCAATTAAAAAATGGGAAAAGGACTTGAACAGACACTTCTCCAAGGAGGACATACAGAATATACAGAGACACATGAAGAGATGCTCAACATTGTTAGCTATCAGAGAGATGCAAATTAAAACCACAATGAGATACCACTTTACACCGGCCAGGATGGCCATCATAAACAAAGCAACAAACAACAAATGTTGGAGAGGTTGTGGGGAAAAGGGGTCCTTAGTTCACTGTTGGTGGGATTGCAGACTGGTACAACCATTATGGAAAAGAGTATGAAATTTTCTCAGAAAAATAAAAATTGACCTGCCTTTTGACCCAGCAATTCCACTGCTAGGATTATATCCTAAGAATCCTAAAACATCAATTTCAAAGAACCTATGCACCACAATGTTCATAGCAGCACAATTTACAATAGCCAAGAGTTGGAAGCAACCTAGGTGCCCATCAGTAAATGAATGGATCCAAAAACTATGGTACATTTACACAATGGAATTCTATGCAGCAGAGAGAAAGAAGGAGCTACTACCCTTTTCAACAACATGGATGGAACTAGAAAGCATTATGCTGAGTGAAATAGGCCAGGTGTTGAAAGACAAATACCATATGATCTCACCTTTAACAGGAAGCTAAACAATAAAACAAACAAGCAAGCAAAACAAAAACAAAGACACTGAAATAGAGAACAAGGGGATGTGACCAGAGGGGAGAAGGAAGGGAATTTAAGGGGAAAAAGGGGAGGGATTTGGAGGAATGAATATGAAGGACACAGGGACGAGAACTAAGGGGGTGGAAATGGGAGGAGGTGGGGAGCACGGGGTGGGGAGGCTGGGATGGGAGAAACAGACAAAAAACTGTACTTGAAAAATAACTAAATAAAATTATTGAGAAAAAAAGAATAATGAACTAAAGGAAATGGACATTCACTGCTGCTTCTAGAAAATCTACTTTATTCATTTCAATACTGTGGAATTCTAGAATCAAGAAAGGATGCACTTGATAGCTGTTAGCTCCATTCTCCTTTATTCTCTCCATTCATCCCCCTCACTTCGAACAGGAACCTTTAAGCAGCAAGGGAACTGTTCTATTAATTGAATTAGCTTGAGAACAAATTTTTTGGGTAAGGGTTTCTTGAACCCTAAATGAAAGACCAAATTTAGTGGTACATATTATCTTTCTCCAATTAATAAAAGTCTCTATATACTTACCAAAATAGAGATTTACACATACTCCTAATACCACTATGGTATTCTCGTGTTTTTTAACATTTCTCTCTCGGATTCCTCAGACGGCATTCTAATCCACCAGTTTTCATTCTCTCGGCCACAGTTACTCTGTAGCTGGCCCCAGTGCACATCCCAGTCAGTGCTGTATGCAGACAGCACACCTGCACCTAGGTACAGGAGCCAGTTCTTAGGCAGAGCTACTATTTCCAGCACTTCCTGGTTTTCCTAACTTGGAAATTAATTTTAGTTCCTGATTATTATTTGGCAGCTATTCACCTGCTACACTAGTGAGGAAAAATAGCACTGAAAAAATCGTGGGGTGGAGGCAGACCTGTCATGTCACCTCTCCTTTTTCTGCAGAGAACACTGCTTGGCTTCTGGGAGAAAACAGCTCGAATGATGTCCCAGATCCATGGGGCCTATAGTGGCGCTTATCCAAGTGACTTCATGGGCCTCAAGGTACATTCCTGTCCATGGTTTCTTGTTAGATATATGTTACACATCATTCGGGTAATAACATTGAAACTCTTTTTTGCTAAGCCTAATTTCAAATTTACAAAACATTGAGAATTTTTTTTACACTCCTTCAGCTAAGAATCTGTAGTCCTTTAGCCAGTCATTTTTATGCAGCACTTCCCTGATTCCAAATGCTATTGGCAACTAAAAAAACACACGTGGAAATATTGCTGATGGGCTTGAGATAATAGTAGGGGGCTAAGTAAAGGGGGAGAATGTGGAAAGAAAATTAAAGTGCAAAAGAGATAAAAGGTTATGGAAAGGAAAAACTTAGGAGGAACAGGTGATGGAAAGTGGTCATGTTTTTAAATAAATGACCATACTACTTACATGAAAATTTTAGAAGTTAAAAAAAAGTTTCCTTGCTTTACTTTCACACTCATGTCTTAGATGTGATTCATGATACAAAATTGATACCAGTTTGGTCATCATATATGTGTGATTGCAGCTGATGAGACTGCTGGATTATATCAGCTCTTTCTGTAACGCCTACATATACAAGGTACTCTCGGCCTACGATTATAATGCTTTTAACATTTGTATATCTTCCTGTGCACCTGCTTTGCATATGGCTTATTCTGCACGGTCACACTGTGGTAATCGTTCTGGTAGGTGAGGTTTCAGTACCTTCGAAGTTATCATTCTGCTTTATTTTCAGTAGACCTTGAAAATGTTGCTGGATTTGTTTGAGCTAGATGTGGTAATCTGTGATGGATTCATGTCTTGCAAGTATACATTCCTGAGGTTCAGTATAGATATTTTTAAAATTTTGTTTATTTCTTTTTAGAGAGAGATGGAGAGAAGTAGAAAGAGAGGGAAAGAAACATGGATGTGTGTCTCACACATCAATCAGTTGCCTCTTCCATGCCCCCAGCTGGGGACCTGGCCCACAACCTAGGCATGTACCCAGACTGGGAATAGAAGCGGCGAACTTTTGGTTCACAGACCAGCACTCAATCCACTGAGCCACACTAGCTGGGGCATTAGTATGGACTTTTAAGTCATGTTCTGACATAGCATATTGCAGTTTAATAGTTACCTTTGAATTAGTGTTTTTGGTTTTTGTTCTGTATATGTTTTGTTTTTTAATTTTTGTATATTAATACTTCACAGGGTAGCATACTATGTATTGAGCCAAATTTAATATCCAGTTTCTTTTCAGAATTGAAGTTGAAAATCTCGAGCTGTTTTTACAGCATTGCAGTACAGGCTAGAACCACACAATAAATCTTTGGCATATCGCCAAGTAGTAAACTCTGTTGCTAGCCCATGTTACAGTGTGTGTGGTTTCCAAGGACCCGGGGCTCAGTTCAAACTACAGTAGCACACACTTCCCATGTCTCTCACTGTCCACTTCAGAACTATTCCTACTTTATATTGTTCTTTAGAACTTTTATTTTCATTTCGTATGCACAAAGAGAGGAGCAGATTCTTTTCATCTCCTTAACAATGAATGTCTTATCTTTAGCAACTACAAGACACTTCAAGCAAGCTTACTGGAGACCACAAAGAACAACAAATAGCAAACAATTCACTCACTGAAAACCTCAATAAGTAAGCAGGCAAAATTTATGTACCATATTATGGAACTGCTGGATATCATTGTATATTTGGAAAGAGTTGAATCTTCTCTGGCTTAATGAATACTTATTTCTGTCATTTTTCCAATTATCATTAGAAATTTGGTTTGAAGTCTGATTTTTCTCTCTCTCTCTTTTTTTTTTAACATGGCAGGCAAAGTCTATGGCAGGAGTACAGAACAGATTGGGGTGATAACTCCAAATTCTGTAGTGTAGGAGGAGACAGGCTCATCTTAAGAGTGCCTATGTAGTGAATCCCAGAAGGGGCAGCTTGAAAAAGAAAGTGACAGGTGCCAGCAGCTTTGAGGACAGAAGCTGTTGAAAATCAATCTGCAAAACAACCCAGGTGGACCTAGGCCTGGTCACCTGAGAGCAGAGGCTCTCTGTACACATCCTTCATGTTGCCTGTTTTCCTTTTATCACAGCCCACCTTTGTTTTCCCTTCAGAACTGCCACTTATGTCTCATTTTAACCAGATCGCACCGAGTATAATAACGAACCCAGAAATAAAGCCCGAACAATTATGAACTGTATATTGTGGAGTTGAAGGGGATCTGCAATATAAACAATTCTTTTCTCTGGGGGGAAATTCAAACACATTTTTTTGGTGTAACTTATATATATAAATGTTTTAGGATGCAGGTTAAATAATCAAATGTATAGTTATAAATTAAACTTAGTTTTACATTGACATTTGAAATCATTACTTTAAATATATTAATTTAGTAATTTTTTCCATTATCATATTTCATGAAACTTTTATTCAAAATCTTCTCATATATCTTCAGCATTATGAGAGCTACTTTTTGAATTAACAGATTTCAAAGCACTTCACCTTCATTTCCACCCAAGTTGTTTAAAAAACCATGTATGTATACTGTCATTGGAAATTTCACTCTGAAGTCATCAGTATCTATTTGCTCTTTAGGCCTATTTTTGTATTTGCAAATAAATATTGCATTGCTTTATAAAAACATATTAAAAACAACCTTCAATGCTAAAATTTTGAGCCTAAATTCCAGGAATAATAGCTAAACCTGAGTTCAATTTCTTTGACTCATTTTTTTTCTTTTTTTTAAATTGATTGACTTTAGAGAGAGAGAGAAGGGAGAGAGATAGAGAAGCATTGATCGGTCATTCCACTTATTTATGCGTTCATTGGTTGATTCTTGTGTGTGCCCTGACTGGAGGTGGAACCTGCAACCTGCATAGGGGATGATGTTCTAACCAACTGAGCTAACCCAGCCAGGGCATCTTTGTCTTACGTTTTTATTTTATACCAGATGGATTATATAAATATTCAAAATTGGTACTGATTGAAAATATTTTAGGCAAATGTATCCTCTTTTGCAAATATCACTCAATAGCTTTGGTGATAGAGGTTCTCTGTAGTACAGCACTAACATTGTGTCTGCAAAGCTGAACACGGTACCTGGAGCTTTGCCAACACTCAGTAGGTTTTTGCTGAATGAATAAAGGGCGAAGGATTATGTTCACAGTCTGTGTAGATCTAGAGAAGAAGCAGAATTTGTCTAAGACAGATTTCAAGAGATTTACTGGGCAACTGGTTAAAAATTTTTTTAAATATATAGAAAACTAAGGAATATAAGTCTCAAATGTATTTTAACCAAAATCTTTGCATTTTTTTTTTACTTCAGGTTAGTTTTGTCAGATGAGGAAGTAAGCTTGAGAAGTGAATCAGGTAAGATGGTAAATTCATTAAAATGTGAAATTATCACATTTTATGTGTCGAAACAGTTTGTCATAGTTTTTAAAAAGAGATTACATTAATATCTATTTAATTTTTTAAAGGTCATTGTTTTACAGTTTACATTCAATATTACTTTGTATTAATTTCAGGTGTACAACATAATGGTGAGACAGTCATATCTTTACAAGGTGTTCCCTGCCCCTGATACTTCCAGTGCCCACCTGGCACTATTCACACCTTGGTATTACTGACTATATTTCCTATGCTGTACTTTTCACCCTCTTGCCCATTTTGTAACTACCTATTTGTACTTCTTAATCCCTTCACCTTATTCACCCAGTCCCTGAAACCTCTTCCCCTTAAAACACATTATGTCTCTTCTGTACAAACACCTGAGTTACCTTTATTTTTTTCTAGCTTTTGAAGTTGTAATTGGCATATAACACTGTGTAAGTTTAAGATGTACAATGTGATGATTGTGTGTGTGTGTGTGTGTGTGTATGGCAAAATGATTATCACAGTAAAATTAGGTAACCCATCCCTCACCTCATAGTTACCATATTTATTTGGGGGGTAAAAACATTTAGGATTTACTCTCTTAGTCAAGGATACAGTACAGGGTTGTTAACTAACAGTTACCATGCTGCACATTAGCCCAGAACTTCTTTGTACCCTCTGACCAATCTTACAAAACACATCCATTCAGGTTTTTTGCCCATTTTAAATCAGATTATTTGGGATTTTTTTGTTGTGTGCTATTGAATTATATGAGTTCCTTATATATATTTGGATATGATCTCCATATCATATATATGGTTTGTGGATATTTTACCCATTCTATAGGTTTTTAATTATAACATTTCATTGATATTTTTATGCCATGTAGGGTTTAAATTTTTTTTTAATTTTAATTTTCTGTTTAGCCATTTAATACAGGATGAAGACACAAATCAGTCCTCTCTTCAGTTTTCAGATCTGTGCAGAAGATTTTTAGTTCGAAGCAGTGCCACTGGTTTAGTTTTGAATTTGCTTCTTGTACTTCCCATGTTGTATCAAAAAAAATTACCAAGACCAGTATCAAGGAGCTTTTTTTAAAATTTTTATTCTAGAAGTTTTATGGTTTTAGATATTACATTGAAGTCTTTAATCCATTTCAAATTAATTTTTGTGATGGTATAAAATAGTTTAGTTTCATTCTTTGTATGTGAATATAGTAGACATAGCTACCCTGGCTCTTTTTTGGTTACCATTTGCATGGAATATCTTTTTTCAATCCTTCCTTTTTAACCCATTGGTATCCTTTAAGCTAAAATGATTCTTTTGTAGACAGCATATCACTGGATCTTGAGTTTTTTTTTTAATCCATTCAGCCATGCTATGTTTATTGTAAAATTTAATCCATTTGTTCAGTTATTGATAGGTAAGCACTTACTAATGCCATTTTGTTTATTGTTTTCTAACTGTTCTATAATTCCTTTGTTTCTTTCTTTTTCCCTTGGTGTCTCCTTTGGGATCTGGTGACTTTTTGTGGTGGTACGCTTTGTTTCTTTTAACTTTTTTTGTATCTATTATAGATTCTTTTGCTTTGTGGTTACCATGAAGCTTACATAAAATATATTTATAACATTCTACTTTACGCTGATAAGCTTAATGTCAATAGCATACAGAAACTCTGTACTTTTACTTTTCTCCCCCTCCCATTTTAAATTATTTATGTTGTAATTCACATCTTTTTTTATCTTGTGTATCCAATAAAAATTATTATAGTTAGTTTTTAATATGTTTGTTTTTAACTTTCAAACTAGAGTTGGAAGTGATTTACTCATCATCATTACAATATTAGAGAATCTGACTTTGACTGTATATTTTTTGCCCATGAGCTGTACACATTCATGTATTTTTCTGAGGTTAATTAGCCTCCTTTCATTTCAGTTTGTAGATGCCCTTTAGCATTTCTTGTAAAACAGGTCTAGTGGTGATGAACTCCCATTCTTTGTTGACAAATTTTTTTTCAATATTTTGAATGTATCATCCTACTCTGCTGGCCTGCACAGTTTCTCCTGAGAAATCTGCTTATAGTCTGATAGAATTTCATTGTATGTGACAAGTCACTTATTTCTTGCTGCTTCCAAACTTCTTTCACTTTTGACAATTTAATTATATGTGTCACAGTCTCTGGTTGGGTGAAGCTACTACCCATGCTCTGAGGTGGCAGATGGGGCCACTGGCTGTGTTAAGTGCTGGCTGGCCCTTCTGGTCAGGTGGGGTGTTCTCTGAGGGCAGGTGGGGTCACTAGCTGGGCTTCACATTGACCTCTGGTCAGGCAGGATTACTGGCTGTGCTCCCTAGCCAGATGGTGCTATGGCCTAGCCTGCATTAGACTATTTACATTACCCCTTAAACTATTTCATTCTTGTTTCCAATTAATCCTTCCTCCCATTTCCTTCCATAGGAAATTGCTGATCTCATTTCTGCCCCAATAAATTGCCTTTACTGGACATTTCACACAAATGAACTTATGCAAAAGCTAGTCCTTTTTTGTCTGGCTATTTGTGTCTTTCATTAACCATAATGTTTTGTTAGATTCTTCAGTGTTGTTGTATATAGCAGTAGTTCGTTACTTTCCCACCGTTTTTTTAAAATTTATTTTAATTGTTGTTCAAGTAGTTTTCTGTCTTTTACTCCCATCCCAGCTCACCCTGCCAGTGCTCCCCACCTCCCTCCCATTTCCACCCCCCTTAGTTGTTGTCCATGTGTCCTTTATACTTGTTCCTGTAAACCCTTCCCCTTTTCCCCTGGAATTCCCTCCCCTCTCCTCTCTGGTCACTGTCAGCTCATTCTCTATTTCAGTGTCTTTGCTTATATTTTGCTTGCTTGTTTGTTTTGTTGTTTAGGTTCCTGTTAAAGGTGAGATCATGTGGTCTTTCACCATATGATTTGGATTTGTCGTACAGTGTCATATGGATTTGTCTTTCACTGCCTGGCTTATTTTACTCAGCATGATGCTTTCTAGTTCCATCCATGCTGTTGCAAAGGGTAAAAGCTCCTTCTTTCTTTCTGCTGCATAGAATTCCATTGTGTAAATGTACCATAGTTTTTGGATCCATTCATTTACTGATGGCCACCTAGGTTGCTTCCAGCACTTGGCTATTGTAAATTGTGCTGCCATGAACATTGGGGTATATAGGTTCTTTTGAATTGGTGTTTCAGTGTTCTTAAGTTATAATCCTAGCAGTGGAATTGCCGGGTCAAAAGGCAAATCCATTTTTAGTTTTCTGAGAAAATTCTATACTGTTTTCCATAGTGGTTGTACGAGTCTGCAATCCCACCAATGGTGCACTGGGGTTCCTTTTTTCCACAACCTCTCCAACACTTGTTTGTTGCTTTGTTTATGATGGTCATTCTCAATAATGTGAAGTGGTATCTTATTGTGGTTTTAATATGCATCTCTCTGATAGCTAGTGATACTGAGCATCTCTTCATGTGTCTCTGGATCCTCCATATGTCCTACTTGGATAAGTGTCTGTTCAAGTCCTTTACCCACTTATTAACTGGGTTGCTTGTCTTCTTAGAGTGGAGTCATGTAAATTCTTTGTATATTTTGGAGATTAACCCCTTGACTGAGGTATCATTGGCCAATATGTTTTCCCATACAGTTGGTTCTGTTTTTATTTTAATACTGTTTTCTCTAGCCGTGCAGAAGCTTTTTCTTTTGATGAGATCCCATTTGTTTATTCTTTCCTTTATGTCCCTTGCTCTAGGGCAATATCAGTAACAATGTTGCTGTGTGAAATATCCGAGATTTTCCTGCCAATGTTCTCTAGAACTGTAATGGTTTTACAGCTTATATTTAAGCCTTTTATTCACCTTGAATTTATTTTCATTTATGGTGAAAGTTGGAGCTCAACTTACCTCGTTTTTTTGCACATAGCTGTCCAGTTCTCCCAGCACCATTTGTTGAAGAGACTATTTTTACTCCATTTTATGTTGCTGCCCCCTTTGTGGAATATTAATTAACCACAGAGACTTGGGTTTATTTCTGGGCTTTCTGTTCTGTTCCATGTGCCTATTTTTATGACAGTACCAGGCTGTTTTGATTACAGTGGTCTTGTAATACAGTTTGGTATCAGGTATTGTGATCCCTCCTACTTTGTTCTTCTTTCTCAAAATTGCAGCAGCTCTTTGGGGTCATTTATGATTCCATATAAATGTTTGAAGTGTTTGTTCTATGTCCGTGAAATATGCCATTGGTACTTTACTAGGTATTGCATTGAATCTGTAAATTACTTTGGGTAGTATAGACATTTTGATGATGTTAATTCTTCCAATCCATGAACAAGGTATATGTTTCCATTTGTTTGTGTTTTCCTCGATTTCTTTCCTCAGTGTTGTGTAGTTTTCTGAGTACAGGTCTTTTACCTCCTTGGTTAGGTTTATTCCTAGGGATTTTATTTTTCTTGTTGCTATATCAAATGGGATTTTTTTTTCTGATTTCTGCTTCTGCTGATTCATTGTTGGTATACAAAAATGCCTTTGATTTCTGGATATTGCCTTCGTATCCTGTTGTTTTGCCAAATTCATTTATTAGGTCAAGCAGTTTTTTTGCTAAGTCTATAGGATTTTCTATGTACACTATCATGTCATCTGCAAACAATGACAGTTTTGTTTCCTCCTTTCTGATTTGGATTCCTTCTATTTCCTTTTCTTGTCTGATCACTGTGGCTAGGACTTCCAATTCTATATTGAATAGTAGTGTTGAAAGTGGACATCCTCATCTTGTTTCTGATCTTAGTGAAAACAATTTTAGTTTTTGCCCATTGAGTATAATGTTGGCTGTAGGTCTCTCATATATGGCCTTTATTATGTTGAGAAATGCTCTCTCTATTCCAACTTTGCTGACTGTTTTTATCATAAATGGGTGCTGTACCTTATCAAATGCTTTCTCCACATCTGTTGATATGATCATGTGATTTTTGTTTGCTTTTGTTTATGTGATGTATTACATTTACTGATTTGCAAATATTGAACCATCCTTGCATCCCTGGGATGAATCCCACTTGGTCATGGTGTATGATCTTTTTAATGTATTGTTGGATGCGATGTGCTGATTTTTTGTTGAGGATTTTAGCGTCTATGTTCATCAGCAATATTGGCCTAAAGTGTTTTTTTCTTGGTTGTGTCTTTATCTGTTTTGGGGGATTAGGATGATGCTGGCTTCACAAAAGGAGTTTGGGAGTCTTCCATCATTTTGGATTTTTTGGAATAGTCTGTGAAGGATAGGGGTTGGCTCTTCCTTAACTGCTTTGTAGAATTCTCCTGTGAAACCATCTGGTCCAGGGCTTTTTTGTGTCAGGAGTTTTTTGATTACTGCTTCAATTTCATCGCCTGTTATTGGTCTGTTCAGGCCTTCTGCTTCTTCTTCATTGAGTTTTAGAAGATTATATTATTCTAGAAATTTGTCCATTTCACCTAGGTTTTCAAATTTCTAGGCATACAGTTCTTCATAGTAATTTCTTACAATCCTTTGTATTTCTGTGGTGCCAGTTTTAATCTCTCTTCTACCATTTCTGATTGTGTTTATTGGGATCCTCTCTCTTTTTTTTATGAGCCTGCTTAAAGGCTTGCCAATTTTGTTTATCTTTCCAAAAAATAGCTCTTGGATTCACTGATCCTTAGAATTGTGCTTTTAGTCTCATCTCAGTTAATTCTGCTCTGATCTTGGTTATTTCCTCACTTCTACTTGCTCTGTGATGTCTTGGTTCTGTTTCCTCCAGCTCTTTTAGGCACAGGGTTAGGTTTTTATTGCAAATGTTTCTATCTTTTTTAGGTAGGCCTACATCACTATGAACTGTTCCATACTATAGTATGGAAAGTTCTGTTCCATACTATTTTAATTACCATGGCTTTATAATAAGTTTGAAATTAGGTAGTGTAAGTACACAACACTGTTCTTTTTTCAAACATTTTTTGCTATTCTACTCCCTTTGCTATTCTAATCCCATTGCATTGTATAAATTTTATAATGAGCTTGTCAATTACTACAAAAAACCTGAATTTATATGTGAGTTTGGAGTTAATTACCATGTGGACAATATTGGTCCTTCCAGTCCATGAATGTGGGGATTTTACCTTTGGGTTTCAATAGTTTGTCTATGATATCTGTATATAAGGGTCTTTTTGTATTGATTCAACTTAGGTTTTGTTAAACCTGTTGAATGGGTAGGTTGATGTTCTCTATAAAGTTGGGACATTTTATCTCTTATTTCTTCAAGGTCCCCCTCATACTTTTGAGACTTATTATGTGTATATTGGTACTTTTTTTCCCTGATTCTTACCTGAGGATATGTTTATTGATTTTAGGGAGAGTGCAGGGAACAGGGGAGGAGAGAGAAAGACAGAGAAATCAAAGTGAGAGAGAAACATTCTTTGGTTGCCTCCTTCCATGCCCTGACCAGGGATTGAACCCACAACCTAGGTATGTGCTCTGACCAGGAAGCAAACCTGCAGCTCTTTAGCATACAGAACAATGCTCCAATGAACTGAGCCACCTGGCCAGGGCAGTGTATATGGTACCTTTGTTGTTGGCTCACCATTTCTCTCAGGATCTGTTCATTTCCCTTTATTCTTCCCCACCCCCTCTGTTTTTGGATTGCTAATCTCTACTAGTCTATCTTGAAGTTAGCTAATTCTTTTTCATGCAAGTTTGAATCTATTGTTGATCCACTGTAGTTGATTTTTCTTTTCAGTTTCAGTATTTCTATTTGGTTCTTTTTTATGATCTCTAACTCTATTGATATTCTCTGTTTGATGCAACATTGTCATAATACTTTTCTATATTTTTTTAAATACTGCTTTTTACATTTTTTCCAGGTTTACTGAGGTAATTGATAAGTAAATTGTAAGGTACTCAAAGTACTATATTGTGTGGATATGATATACATATACATTGTGAAAAGAGTCTCCCCATCTAGTTAATTAATACATCTATCACCTCACCTCCTTACTTTCCTTTAGTTCTTTGAAATGTTTACAAGGACGACTTTGAAAGCTGTATTGAATCTGACATTTGGTCACTCTCATTGGCAGTTTCTGTTGCCTGCCTTCTTGCCGTTGTATGGGTCATATCTTTTTTTTTTTTTTTTTGCATGCTTTATTATTTCTTGTTGGAAACTAGACATGTTAGATAATGTATTTTAGCAACTTTAGCTACTAGTCCTCCCTGCTTGGGCTTGTTATTACTTTTTGCTTAGAGATAGGCTGTCTTGTTTCAGTGGATCTGTTCCTCCCAACAGTGGAACTCCTCATGGGTTGCAGGCTGGGTTTATACCCAGTCACCTTGGCATGACAGTGATCTTGAAAGGGTTCATTTCAAAATGACTCTCTCTTTCCCTGACTCCACCCAGCTGTTAAACTCACTAATTTTCAGCTGTTTGCTCTATTGTCTTCAAGAATGCTCTGAACCTTAAATTGTTCTACAGACAAAACCAATCATAACTGGACTCCTTTGAAAGCACAGTTCCCAAGGCCAGTGTTTGAGATTTGTTCTTATCCTAGGCAGGCTCTTCCCTGCTGGCTTTTCCACTGGTTCTTTCAGGCAAACTAGTTGGCCACTATAAATCCAATTCACTGTCCAAGGAGTCTAGCAGTCTTCTCTCAGCTGCCTTTCACCACTTTCTGAGAGCATCCTTAGGCTTGAATTTCTTTAATCTCAGCTGCAAATGCAGTCAGTTCCTTTGGGAAAAGACTAGGAGCTATTTGGTAGTTTGCCTCTCCCTCCAGGCAAAATCTCTTAGTCCTGGCTGATATGGGGGTAGCAAGTGTTTCTCTCTGAGTGACATCCTTACTCTAGGAGCTGCAGTGAGAAGGGTGACAGTAGTCTTAGGTCTTTTTGGTTTGCCTCCTGCTGGGTGAAACTACCACCTTATGAACAAAGTCAAGTGATGAGGGCCCCCATGTACTCAGCAGGCCAAATTAGGGTCTCCATCTGGAGTCTTGGCATCTCAGTGGCAAATGGGAGCTTCCACCTCTTCACTGCACTCCCCAGGGCTTTGCCTTGGCAAGAGGTAACTTAGGGCAGAATATGAAAAGCTGACCTTCCGCTCCTCCTGGGGAGAAAACTCTAGACACAGAGGTGGGGAGAGATAGAGCCCTGTGTTTTTGGCAGCACCAGGATGGATTGGGATTACTGAATTGGGAGTGGGAAGGAAGAGAGTGGTCCTTAGTTCAAATACCAGTCTCTTGTTCTTACCAAATTTTAATTGATTTTCTTGAATAAATGTTTCTTTCCTTTGATGTGTGGTCTTAGAATAATTTAAAGAGAATCTATATGGTTGTTTTTAAAATAATTTCACCAGCTACTTAAAAACTGGTATGCAGGTCTGTAGAACTCCTTACTCTATCCTGCTAGAAGCCCTCTTTTATTTCTGTTAAATCAAGGTGTTTAGGGTTGATGCAGATCCTGGCAGGCAGGATCTGTATGTTGTGGTTGCTAGACAAATACACATGGACTACATAAATCCTGTGGAGAAAAAGGGACAGTGTGGACACTCTGTAAGTGAGAGAGAGGGCAAGAGGTCCCTGGCCCCTGGCCCCTGCCTGGACAGCTTTTTATTACTTCTCTGGGTACATTACATGGAGGAGGGTCCTCATTTACTATGCACAGGTTCGCTGCAGGTGAATACCTTTTACAGATAACAAAGGAAAGAATGTTGCTAGTTACTTCAAAGAGAAAGATGTTACAGATGCGGGGGAAGAAGTGGTTGAACTGGTTACACTCCATACTGGGGAGGTTAGCACAGACTTTAAGAAATTACAGTAAGCACTCTCTGCCTCAATTCAGGGTGAGGAAGTTTTAGCAAAAGCAAGTCTCGTAGCAGTCTAGGTATAATGCAGGAGTGATTCCCCATGGGAGAACCTCTCTGCAGGTGTGGTCCTGTGTGCTGACTCGCTCCCCACTGGTTTTCCACATGACTATTGAGCTGCATTTCCACACCATGCAAAATGGTTCCCTACATAGAGTCATGATTTCTCCTCTGTTAATTGATATTTAAGTATCCCATGGATCATACAGGTTAGGGCAAAAATGGTTTACTGTGGTGAGTACATGAGAGTTTATTTTTGTGTTATTATTTATCGTTGTTTTATTTTCCATATGAACTGTAAACCTACTTTTGTCTTACCCTGTAATATAAAATGTCTTCTTTATCATTATTTTTTAAAAATTCCACTTCCCTTTCAAACAAGAGTTAATAGAAAGTATTAAAATTTGCAGGTGGAAGAGCCTTTTTGTTTTATTTTAAAAATGATTTCTTTTCAGTGCATTGTAATCAGAGCATGTTGTTTGCAATATTTGTACTGCGAGAAATTCACTGACTTTCTTGTGCCTTAGTATAACTAATTTTTATGAATTTTAAATATATGTTTGAGAAGATATATTTTCCATAAGGGTTTGTATATATTCAAAACAACTACCTTAGTGATTATGCTGTTGAAATTTTTTATTTTTGTTTTCCTCTTGGAGTATTTTTTACTGAGTAAAATATTAAAGTCTCCATTATTAATTTGTATTTCTCCTTGCATGTCCTGTAGTCTGTCTTACATAGGCAGTTGTTTAATTGCTTTGTATGTAGATATTCATAACCATTATATACTCATTGTGAAATGAGGCCATTGTGACCCGTAGTCTGTCTAACTATAAATAATTTTCACATAAACTTCAAATTATTTTGTTTATTGAAAATTATGTTAATAAAATTTATGTTAGTAAATTGTGTTATTAAAATCATGTTATTATTTTAATAACATAAAATTATGTTAATATCAGAGCAGTGAAACAAATTTGATTTGCCCTACATCCTACTTTCATTTTTTCAAAAAGAAAAAAAGCCATCCTGTTTTTATTTTCACTCAACAGCTGCAAAAGATGTACCTGTAGATTCATTGGAAGATGATTTTGAGAAGGAATTCTCATTTCTGAACAACCTCCTAAGCCCAGCTTTTTCAAATACTAGTGAATTCTCTGGAGAACGCCAGACTGCTGTGGGGAGACTCAATGCCAGTCTCAGGTCCCAGGAGCCTTCTGTGGGGTCTGAGCCTCTTGCTCAATCTGCACGATTCCTTCCTTCACACCTCTTTGACCTTGGCCTTCATGCTGCTGGAGCTTTCAACAGTGAGTATCTATGAAACATTTGGACACCCACGACTTATTTTGTCTTTGTGAAACAAAACATTGCACATGTGGATGCTAAAACCAAGAAGACTTGATTTTAATTATCTTCAGTGCTACTAGATAAAATCTGTAGTCACACCAATCAACTGGAAAAATAACAGATAGTATCACTACTGGGGTCTGAGAGTGAAACAGGGGCTGCTGTCTTGCCACCTCCACTAAACCCCATGTTTTCTTTGTTGACTTTTTCAGCTATCTTCTCTACACAGAAAATCAGTGTTTCGTCTGAAACTCTTGACTTGCTAGGTTACCCCGACAGAGGACAGGCAGGTGGATTTGCCCACCCACCAAAATTTGGTGTTTTCCTTCTGTGGGTTCAGAGTTGACAAAGCAAAAAGGAACATCCCTGGAGGCTGGCAGCCTCAGCAGAGGGAACGGCGGTAGAAAGCTGGGGGCAGACTATCTTCCTGAGGAAAGGCCACCTGCTGCTTTGTTTATACTTCAAGGATTCCCCCTCTTCACCTACTGTTGTATCATCATGTGTCCAACTCAGCACCTTGGGAGTCATTTTACTCCCCACTTCCATATTGGTTGTTAAGTCCTGTCTATTCTCTTTCTAAAACGTGTCCTAAATTTCCCACTTCTCTTCTCTGCCTCCACAACCAAAGCCACTTACAGCCCCATTTGGTTTCCTGGATTGTTGCTAGAGTCCTCCCAACCCCCCATGCATCCTCCAGAGTTCTCTCTCCCAGCCCCAGATTCTGACGTCAGCACCCTGCTTACATGACTTAAAAATGAAGTACCATGGGCTCCAGGATAAAACCTGCCTGGGCCTGCATGTCCACCCTTATCTCTATGTCACTTCACAATACTGACCATTTCCTGTAACTGTATTGAGTATTTTCAGATCCCTCTCTGGCATCTTTTCTTGTGGCACTTCTTTGAATTACGATGTTTCAGTACTGGACCTTGGGGTTGAGCCTGAGTATTAGATTCCCAATACAGGGTTTGCTCCATGACAGCCAACCTTTGAAGACGTCCTCAATACTGCCTAACAGAAGTGGTTTCTCCCTCCTCTGGACTCATAGTAATTTGTTTTCATGGTTGTAATCAGTTTATCTTGCCTTATAACTCTATCTTTATCCCCTAGTAGGTCTTAACTCTTGAGAAAAAGCCTCATAGTACCTAACAGTGTCTTAATACATTGTACTTTGTATTAAAATACTTATGTTCATACTTTATCTGCAGGACCATTATATTTTATGCAATCTGCAGGCATCTCAAGGGCATGCTCTGTGGGGTGATTCATCTTTGTAACAGAAAGTTAGCTTGATAAATACACATCAGTTGACCATCACTCAGTAAGAGTTTGTCACATAGCCTAAAACTGAGAAGGGACAGTATCACTTGATAAAGAGGTATTCTAGGATAATTAAAATGTTTTGCTATTGTAAAAATTTAGAAAACAATAATTTTAATATGGCTTATCACTGGCCCAATTGTTACACATATTTACAAACTGATTCATTCTCCACCGTGAACTCCTCTGTCTTTCTCCTTAACTTGCCACATGCCCAGCAGCATTGGACTCTTCTCTTTCTGGCAATGTAATATCAACAATATTTCTTTTAAAATTGTTAATTGATGTGAGAGAGAGAGAGTGGAAGGGGGAGGGAGAGAGTGGGAAATATTAGTTCATTGTTCCACCCATCTATGTATTCATTGGTGGTCTCCTGTATGTCCCCTGACTAGGGATTGAAGCCACAGCCAGCATGGCAGGATGAATCTCTAACCCACTGTGCTACCCAGCCAGGGATCAACAGAATTTTTTCACCACTCAGAACTTTTGTTCTGGCCCCTGCCTGCAGGCTGACAGGGTATTTCCAAGTAATAGCTGAGGCAGCTGATACCAGTATTTGTGTCTTGTTTAATTCAAGGTCATCAGAAGACAAAAGTCTGGTTTCCTGCCTCCTAGTACAGGACTCTTTACTAGTCTTTCTTCTGTGTTTACTTCTTTTGTTCCTGTGACAGACCAGGAAACTGAGCTGCCTTGAGAGTTAAAAGATTTACGTTCTAGGAATCCCAAAGAAGATCTTGGGCCTCAAAAGATCTCTTCCATACAAGGAAAATAATAGGCAGGACAATCTAACTTCCTTTCTAGTACTGACATTTAATTAAAGCATAGATAACTTAATGTTACAGCAAACATTTCCCTGTGTTACCAATAGAATATTCATTGTGAACTTTTTAATTACTACATAGTATTTTGTCACATTTACCCACCATAATCTGCTTAATTCCTTACTTATTGTTTCTGTTTTTTCATTTAATAGATAATGCTGCAATAAACATAATCATGCATGCACTTTTTCCTTCAGTTAAATTGTTTCCTTGTATTTCTAGGACTAGGATTACTGAGTCCAAGGGTATAAACATAATTGTTGGTTTCAAGATTCTGTTAGGTCTATTTCCTCTCTTCCTGACTCCTTAGGACTTCTCTTTCTCTACATATCCATTTGCAACTGTTAAAAACAAAACTTATGTATTTACAGTCAGTTGGCCTGTAAAGATGGGGAAACATTCTGAGAAATGTATCATTAGGTGACCGTGTCATTGTGCAAACATGACAGATCATATTTTCACAAACCCAGACAGTGCAGCCCACTACTGTAATTGTATGTGCTGTACTCTCATACAGCTGGCAGTGCAGGTATGTTTACACACATCACCACCAACACGTAATGCATTGCACTATGTTGTGTTGCATTACAATGGCTGCAGTGTCGTTAGGCACTGTGAATTTTTAACTCCTTTATCATGTTATGGGACAACTGTTGTATATGTGATCTGCCACAACGACATTAAACTGTCGTTGTGTAGCACATGGCTGTATTTCAAAACCACTTTGAGAAATGTAGGGAAGTCCAATTTAACTTTAGCTGGGACTAAATTTAGATTTGAATAAAATACATGATTGCAGATAAATTGTAAGTGTGTTATACCTTTTATACTGTAGAATCTTACCCTGGTATGAAGACTTGTTAGATAGTTTTACCTCGTCTTGTTTCTGTGGTGCTACTCGATGCTAATTCCTATTCAGTCAATAATGGATAATTCATTACTTCCCTCCCCCCAGGCTGGGCCTCCAAAGGGGGATTAGAAATTCCTCTTTCACACACTGATAACAAACCAGTGCCTTCACAGAGTCCAAAGAAATTAACAAAATGTAAGTTATTTATTTATATTCTCTACCATTGTATTAGCAATCAGTCAAATTCAGATAAATGTAGAAAGGGACCATTTTAGTCTTCACCTCATACTACCCAGAAAAATATTTTATAAGCAATGAATTAGAATGAAAGCTGTACCTGGATATCCGTCACCATAGAAAGCATTGAACAGAAATTTGGGAGCTTGTCCTAGTAAACTAAATTCTGAACTTTAACCTTTAATATTTTGTGCTAAGGTTTGTTTACAAGGGATAATACCACTGGGGATGGAAGATGCTCTCTGATCACCAGATGCCTACTGACAATGCATTCTTGCACTCACTAGCATAGGGCCTGGCACGCAGTAATTGCTAACATACTCAGTACTTACCATATTGTTGTCTGAAGAGCTGGTCCATGTTGTAATTTCCATGTAGGGTATACATAGGAAACAGACACACTCTGTCTTGCAGAACTTTACATACATATTAATCTTAGTCACTGACATTTTCAAAACTTTTAAAATTGGAATTTCAAATGTACAGAAATTGTGCATAAATGAAAATACCACAAAAACATCTGTATACCCATTACTCAGCCTCACCTACTATGGTGTTTTAGCACATTTGCTTTATGCAGGCCTCAGTGCTATTTCTGAACCCATTGAGGGTAAGTTACATACATCATGGCCCTTTAACCCTAAGTACTTTAGTTTGCTTCCTGAGAACAAGTATAGTTACTTGCATGATCACAGTATAATTGTAAACTTTAGGAAATTTATAGCACTTTCCCCAACTGGTACATCAAGTCTAGGGGTAGGTATTGTATTCACTTGCTATCTCTTTAGTTGTTTAATCTGATGCATTTATACAGCTTTAAAAAATCTTTGGATATGAATTTTTTAATAGAATATAGTCCCTCTGTTCTACTATTTTGTGTTTTTACTAAAATGCTTCTTATTTCAATTTAGCTGAGGTCTTCATGTGATTAAAGTTAGGTATTCATTCATTCTTGCATTTAATTTTTATTAAATTTTTAATTTATGTACAGGGGTGTATATTAGATCCAGGTGTGCAATACAGTGATTCACATTTTTATGCCTTGCAGTGTCATCACCGTACTTATTCTAGTGACCATCCGTTACCAGGCAAACTGATCACAATATCATTTACTGTATTCCTCTTCATCTTTTTTATCCATCCACCTGCCTCTTCCTTTCTGGTTAGAATCCTTTTGGTCTCCATTTCTGTGAGTCTCTTTTTGTTTTGTTTTGTTGTGTTTTTTTTAGATTCCACATATAGATGAAACCATATGATATTTGTCTTTCTCTGATTTATTTCAATCAGCACAATACCCTCTAGGTCCATCTATATTGTTACAAATGTCAAGATTTTATTATTTTTTATGGCTGCATAATATCTCATTGTGTGTGTTTGTATAGCTAAAAAACATCATTACCCATGGAAACCTAGATGGCTTCCATACCTTGACTACTGTAAATAATGCTACAGTGAACATAGGCATGCATATATCTTTTGAACCAGTGTTTTTGTCTTCTTTGAATCACTCCCAGAAGTGGAATTGCTAAGTCATGTAGCAGATCTGTTTTTAGATTTTTCAGGAATACTGTTCTCCACAGAGATCACACCAATTCGCAGCCACTCCAACAGTGCACAAAGGTTCCCTTTTCTCCACATCTTCTCCAGGACATTTGTTTACTTTTTGATAATAGCCAGTCTGACTGGTATGAGGTGATCTCTTTGTGGTTCTGATTTGCATTTCCCGATCATTAATGATCTTGAGCACCTTTTCATGTCTGTTGACCATCCGTATGTCTTCTTTAGACAAGTGTCTTTTCATGTCTCTGTCCATTTTTAACTGGATTAAATTTTTTGTTATTGATTTGTATGAGTTGCTTGAGTATTTGGGATATCAAACCCTTATTGGACATATCATTGATGAATATCTTCTCCCATTCAGTAGGGCTTTTTTGTTGGTAGTTTCCTTCACTGGGCAGAAGCTATTTAGTTTAATGATGCCCATATGTTTATTTTTGCTTTTGTTTCCCTTGTTCGAGAGAACATATCCCAAAAAATATTACTCAAACTGATGTAAAATATTTACTACCTATATTTTTTTCTAGGAGTTTTATGGTTTCAGGTCTTGCATTTAAATCTTTAACCCATTTTGAGTTTATTTTTGTATATCATGTAAGAAAGTGGTCCAGTTTTGATTTTTTTGCATGTATCTGTCTAGTTTTCCCAAACTATTTGTAAAAGAGACTGTTGTTACTCCATTGTATAATCTTATCTCCTTAGTTGCATATTAGTTGACCACATCAGGAGGATTTATTTCTAGACTCTCTATTCTGTTCCGCTAATATTTGTATTTGTTTTTGTGACAGTACCATACTGTTTTGAGTATTATAGCTTTGTAGTATAGTATAAAAGCAGTGTATGATACCTCAGACTTTGTTCTTTCTTAAAATTGCTCTGGTTATACATAGTCTTTTATGGTTCCATATACATTTTAGGATTATTTTAGTTCTGAGAAGAATGTCATTGGTATTTTGATAGGAATTGTATTGAATGTGTAGACTACCTTGGGTAGTATGGACTTTTTAAGATATTAATACTTCCAATCATGAGCATGGTGTATCCTTCCATTTATTTGTGACTTCAATTTATTTCCTCAATGTCTTATAGTTTTCAGACTATACATCCTTTATCCTCTTGGTTAAATTTATTTTTAGATATTTTATTCTTTTGATACAGTTGTGAGATTTTCTTAATTTCTTTTTCTCATATAAAAATACTCACAGGGATGTAAAGTACAGCATAATGAGCATATTCAGAAATAGTGTAGTAATTATGTGCGGTGTCAAATTCGTACAAGGCTTATTGGGATGATCCCTTCATAAGTTATATAAATGTATAATCACTATGTTGTACACCTGAAAGCAATACGGTATTGTATGTAAACTATAACTGAGAACATAAATTAAAAAATATATTAAAAATTTGTATAGTACACATGGAGAAGACAAATGAAACAACTGTAAACCAAAATAACTGTTGGGTGTGTTAATGTGATAAGGTTAGCAGAATTTTTCCCCTTATGTTAATATTTTAATATTGCTTTTATAATAAATACTCTGAGTACTAAGTTTACAATGTGACGTTCCTACTTTGTAGGAAGAAAGACTACTTTGAATTTTGAACCTCATCTGAGAGCCTTGTATAAATGATCTTAGTGATTCTCAGAAAACTTCACCACTGCTTCCCTTTCAATCAGGTCTTTTCTCAGAGCAACATGCAATCACTTAGATATAAGAGCCTCAGCAAAGTATTGGTGTCTGCATTAGTTTTTCATAATTATCCCTAAGAAGATATTATTGATAGTTTATTCTTGTCAGTTGTCTTTTTTTGATTCAAAACAAGCATTTACTTTACAATCATAAACGTGGCACAGTACTGTGATTCCAAAATCTGAGACTTGTTAATGTGTGTGTCCTTCTTTTCATAGCTCCCAACAGTGGTAACCAAGACATGTCAGCCTGGTTCAGCCTATTTGCAGACATGGATCCACTTTCAAACCCAGATGCTATTGGACACTCAGATGATGAACTTCTTAATGCTTGACTGAAGTCATGATGTCCCGTCTGTGGTCTTGAAACATCGATTTTGCAACATATTGCCTTTATGTAAAGGAGTTTATATTGTAATCCACAAACAAAAGCATTGTGTCCGTGAATATAACACTTGTCAGGCAACTTTAGACAGATGGTAAAGACCACGTTTAAATTGACGTCTCTCTTTAATATCTTGGATTTGCAGTTGTGATAATATGTGGAAAATACTCAAAACCATTTAGTCTGAGATACAGAATGAAACTTATTTTGAACCAACAGCTAATAAGAATTTTGTCAATGAGTTGGGCTTATTCCTTTGGAAAGCCTGTAATGTGTAAGTTGCCTTGCTGGCTGTGAGAATTCTTTATGTTGATTGAGGACAGCATGGAAAACGGGTTGTGATTTAGGGTCAGTTTTTAAATAAAACAGTGGCAAGGAGAATTTTCTGTTATGGAAAATAGCACTAGAACCAGACCAGTTTTGGCTTTACTAGAAAGGCAGAATAAGATTTGAGAACTCAGTTTGCTTTAATGAAATCACAGAGACACTTGGTGCTTGTTCTTTCCATTTAGAGATGAAAATGTAGTATTACTTTCTTTCCTTCATAGAAAACCATGGACTCCCCTCAATCCACTATCACATTTTCATGGGAAAGTAGCAGGAAGATTTATTTGTTTAGTTCATCCTCTGTGGAAATGGAAACCTGTCTTTTCTTTTTTTTTTAAATTTTATATAGTTATTTTTCAAGTACAGTTTTTTGTCTATTTCTCCCACCCCAGCCCCCCCCCCGCCCCGTGCTCCTCACCTCCCTCCCATTGTCACCCCCCTTAGTTCTTGTCCCTGTGTCCATCCTATTTGTCATACAGCAAACCGCAAGAACGTCCAAACACATTGCGACCATAACATGCAGTACGCCTACTCTTCCCGAAAAGCAGGGAGGGCACTCCCCACACAGTTGACAACAGCATCCCTGAAATTACCCAGAAACTTCTCTCTGAATGGGGGAGAAATTCTAAACACCTTATCCTTATACATATTTGCAGACTTACACGTTTCTTGACTTGTTTTAACACAGAATACTTCCTGCCAGAGTTACACAAAGCTGATCAGTAAGTGTCTTACTTTTCTACTTTCTCCTTTAATTGGAAGACATCATCCAAAGCTCTATTTCATTACTAAGGAAAAGCTGTAATCCCCTGGGAGGATACTGAATCGAAGTAAAAGGGGAAGGATATTTAATTCAAATTAGTGTAAGCCAATGAAAACAGCTACTGTGTACACACACCAATCCCTACATTTGCTGGTCTTTTTTCTTGCCCACTCTTTAGTGTTGAGGCAGTTCTCAGGTGTGTTATTTTTGCAACCCAGACCATTGCATTCCGCAGGAAAACATTTAAACTTAATTGTTCACAGCAGTTTCAATGTGCTCTGAGTTCTAAAGAGGCTTATTTATTATTTACAAGAGAATTGCTTGTAACATCTGAGTCATTGCATGGACCAGAGTAGGTGAAATGCACCTCTCATCCACAGGGGTATGGCCCAAGTTCTGAATTGCTCATGAGCTCTTGAAAAAACCACCACTATGGCCAAGTACTACATAGGCTGGAAAGACCTTACCCGAGGGTCAGAAAAATGGACCCAGTTGAAAACTTAAGTCTTTCCTTAAAATCTCTTCACATGCGTAGTTCTAGTTCTTTTTTGGTTATCCCTTCAGAAGTATTTTTCAACTCTTCTTTTTTATTCAGTGAAAATCTGCAGAATGCAATACTGTCTTTGTTCTGCCAAGATTCAGACGCCTTTGAGCACCCCAGAAAATGCTGACTTTATGTCTTTGGTTTGTGTCCTTTCTATTTCACTGATCTATTTCTCTAACACCTTAGTTCAAACATATTTATCTCCTTCACATGCAGACACACACACCATAACACAGAGGAAAATCACCAGTTCCTCCAAGCCAGAAGCCTGAATCCCAGACTACGAATGTGAAGGGATGCTGCCCTTAATTTCCCATGAGGAAAGGTTCTCAAAAACAAACAAACAAACAAACAAACAAACAAAAAACATACAAGGGATCTTTATTATTCAGCTCTTGTGTCTCTCAGATTTTCTTTCAACACAAGAGTATGTGGCTGTCCACTTAACCCAAATGCAACATGAACTGCTTTGGGAAGTCCAGTTACAACTTTAGCAAGTCTTAACTCCATTTTTGAAGAGCACCCTAAAAACTTTGTTATTAAAATCAAGGTAACCAATCATAGTTTGTCAAGATCAGTTATTTGAAGCTCACTCATTAATTCAGAGACCAGAAACAGAAATGTGGTTGTTATGATACCTGGATGGCTAACAGAGAAAACCACCATATTTTCAGGAGGGAGTGAAGGAAAGGACACAAGAAACAACACAGAACAGTTACTGTTTGTCTGAATCTAGACCAGGGATTGGTCAGAAGCCTGCCTTGCTCACAGGCAGGCTGAGAACAACTCTTTCAGAATAGATGGCTACTTTCCATAGTAAGTGGGGGAAATACCCATCCTCTACCTTTTATACCACATCAGAATGCATTTAACCTTAGAAAAAAACAGAACTAAAATTTGCATAAGGTTTCTACAACCACTTTATAAGAAAGACAGGAATAGACAGAAAACTGGTACTTGAACAACAGTTAAAATGAAAAACATTTTAGAAACAAACAAAAAAAGAAGGACAGGAATACCAGGGGATATTAAGATTAGATAGGTGTAACTTTATATTTTTTTAAATCTTTCATCAATTGTAAAACTTAGCCCTGACATGGTTAGAAACAAACTGTATTTTAACAAAATAGGTTTCAGTGTTTGTACAATATAAACTCTATATTTCAACTACGGATATTTATTTCATATAACTCACTTTGTAGACCATTTGGAAATAAATGTGGAGATAAATAAATGTGGAAATAAATTTGTTCTTATAGCCTAAGAACAAATGAACTTTGGATGTGCTCTATTTTTCTGACTTCTTTTAATAAAGATTATGAGATGACATAAACAAAAAAAGCTTATTTCCTAAAGTACTCAATACCAATCCAATTATTGTTTCCCTATTTCAAAGCTTGGGTTTTACCATAGCACTGTAGTATTGACAAGGTGGTTTGAATTGAAAAAAATATATATATATTTTGTATAAACACAGATACACACACACACACACACACACACACCACAGAATGACAATAAACCAGAGCACTTAAAATCCTTGTGAGATTGATTCTAATTTATTTCTTACAAAAGGAACACTGTACAATATGGGAAATAACAATGTGTGTTCTTTGTATAAATACTCTTGCTAACAAAACACAAACTATCAACTATCAAAAATTTGGGCCCAGAAGAAATAATAATGAAATAGAAGCCATCGTGTTTAACCCTAATTCCTGAAGGCAGGGAGAGAAAGAAGCCAAAATTGACCCACTGCAGTGCATTTCCTTACCCTGAGCAATAAAGCAGCCCCAGAATTTTCTGAGGGAAATTTAACTAGGAAGGAAATACAAACTTGTAAATATCAATGAACTCAGCAGTATTGAAAGTAATGCATTAATGCATTTAAAACATACAATGCATAAGTTGTTTAAATAAGTAAAGAAAACCTATGTAACAGTATAGGAAGAAAAATTTGTTGGTCTGGATGGGATATATCCATAAGCCCAAAATAAAATATCTTCCATCTTTTATGTGTCATGAACAGAGAGACAGTACAAAAAAAGAGTACAGTAAAAACTGTCCTTGGTATTGAAAGTGAAGACATGGTTCTTAACTTGGTGTTGTAAAAATAAACTGTTCAACGCCCAAAGAGTAAATATAAAAGGCATATATAGATAAAAGTCTGCATGATGTTAACAGGTAAAATTTTAAAGTGCATTGTTTTTAAAGAAAGTTGTTTCCTTGTTCCTATTTCCCAAAGTAATATCTGGAAGTCTGAAAAATACTAAAAAGTAAAGAAAGAAATTTTCCACAATCCTACCACCCAGGAATAGCTAATGTTAACATTATTTATTGTATATTGTCTTTCACTTATAGTTTAAATTGCAATAGTGATGTTTCTCTTGTTTTTTTCCATCTGAAATGGGCATACAAAGTTATTGAGACTGCTTAAACTATTTTTGTCTTCGAAAAAGTTAAAAACATACACCAAAAATATGACTGGAGTCTATTTCTGCATCTCTGCAAGATGTGCTCCAAATGTTTCTCTTTCATTGTTACAGCTATGGCAACATTAAACCCAGAAAGCTTGAGGACATGTGTCACTAACTTGCTGGGTCAGGAACTGGGGTCTCACCAGCTGGCTTTGTATTCGCACTGAGCCAAGTTGCCAGCAGTGCTGTCAGCAAAGGACAAACAGAGCAATGGCCCTAAAAACCTTTGTTTTTTTTTAGTGTCACTGTTGCAGGAGAACACAATAGTTAGTCTCTGTGGATTGAGCACTGTCCTATAACCAAAGGGTTGCAGGTTCAATTCCCAGTCAGGGCACATGCCTGAGTTGCAAGCCAGGTCTCCAGTAGGGGGTGCACAAGGCAACTGCACATTGATCTTTGTCTCCCTCTCTTTCCTCCTTCTTTCCCCTCTGTCTAAAAGTAAATAAAATCTTTATATAAAAAAGAATTAAAATAAAATAAAATAAATATCTAGGAATAAATTATCAAGGAGGTAAAAGATTTTATCCATACTTGAAAAATTATAAGATACTTAAGAAGAAACTGAAGAGTTACAAGTAAATGGCAGTCTACACCATCATTAATAGATAGGAAGAATTAACATCATTAAAATGTCCATACTAACTAAACAATCTATAGATCAATACAATTTCTATCAAAATAACAATGGCCTATTTTACAGAACTAGAACAAATAATCTAAAAACTTGTATGGAACCATAAAAGACCTGAACAGCCTCAGCAATTTTGAAAAGGGACAACAAAGTTGGAGGTATCACACTACCTGATATCAATCTGAACTATAAGGCCATAGTAATCAAACCAGCATGTACTGCATAAAAGAAGACATATAGATTAATGGAACAGAATACAAAACCCAGAAATAAACCCATACCTATATGGTCAATTAATGTTTGACACAGAAGCAAGAATATACAACAGGGTAAAGACAATCTATTCAATAAATGGTATTAGAAAACTGGACAAATACATGCCAAAAAACAACTGGACCACCTTACACCATATACAAGAATAAACATAGAATGGATTCAAGACTTAAACGTAAAACCTGAAACCATAAAACTCCTAGAAGAAAACATAGTAAAATCTCTAGCATTTCTCTTAACAATATTTTTCCTGATATATCTCCTTGGGCAAGGGAAACAAACAAACAAAAAATTGAAGAAATGGGGTTACATCAAAGTAAAAAGTTTTTACACAGAAAAAAACATCAGCAAAGTGAAAAGACAACCTACTAAATGGAGGAAGATATTTGCCAATGACACATTTGATAAGGGATTAATATCCAACTTTATAAAGAAATCATGTACTTGACACCAAAAAAACACATGATCCAATTAAAGAAATAGAGAAAGGGCCTGAATACACACTCCTCCAGAGAAGCCATACAGATGGCCAATAGACATATAAAAAGATGCTCAATGTTACTAATCATCAGAAAGATGCAAATTAAAACCAAAATGAGGTATCACCTCATGCTTGTCAGAATGGCTATCATCAATAAACATACAAACAACAAGTGTTGGCGAGGATGTGGAGAAAAGAGAACCCTTGTGCACTGTTGGTGGAAATGCAGACTGGTGCAGCCACTATGTAAACAGTATGGAAGATCCTCAAAAATTTTTAAATGAAACTGCATATGACCCAGTGATTCTACTTCTGTGTAGATATCTGAAGAATCCCAAAACACTAATTCAAATGAATGTATGATCCCTTATGTTCACTGTAGCATTACTTACAACATCCAAGACATGGAAACAACCCAAGTACCCATAAAAAGATGAGTAGATAACACAGTGGTGGTATATATATGCAATGGAATATTACTCAGGCATAAAAAAGAGTGAAATCTCACCATTTATTTACAATATCATGGATAGACCTAAAGGATGTTATGTTAAGTGTGATAAGTCAGAAAGACAAATACCATATGGTTTCACTTGTATGCAGAATCTAAAGAACAAAATAAAAGAACAAACAAAAAGACTCATAAACAGGGAACAAACTGATGATTGCCAGGGGGAGAGATGCCTGAGGACTGGGTGAAGGGATTAAGAAATACAAATTAGTAGTTAAATAACAGTCATGGGGATGCTAAGTACAGTATAGGGAATATAGTCAATAATATGGTAATAACTATCTATGATGCCAGGTAGATAGATACTGAGGATATCAGGGGATACTTTGTAAAGTATATGATTGTCTAACTACTAGGTTGTACACCTGAAAGTAATACAAAATAATACTGAGGACTTCTGGTCAAGATGGAGGCATAGTTAGACAGGCAACAACAAGAAGGATCACGATTAATCTAAAAAAAACCCCAGAATGCCTAGAAAATCAAACTCTATGAAAGTCCGACAACCAAGGCATTAAGAAAGCCATATTCATCCAGACAGGTAGGAGGAGCAGAGACAGGGAGCTGGGGTGGCAGCTGGTGGAACAATGGTCCCACATTTACATGTGGTGGGTAAAAATTGGAGGGATACCTTGGCAGTAAGTGATCCCAGCCCCAGGTCAGACTGTACCACATCAGGAAGATAAAGTCTCATATCTTCTAGCTATAAAAGCCAATGGAAGTTGGGGTGGCAGAAGAAACTGCTGGTCTCTCAGTAGAATCTGTTTAAATGGCCCATACGGTCCTAGAACATACGCAAACTCACCCACTCTTGGAACCACCACCTGGGCAACAGCTAGAAAGGTGCCAGGTGCATATGGGAAGTGGGTGAAGTGACTGGAAACATGGAAAGTGCCAAAAAAAGCCTCCAGCATCCAGGCAGCAGTAATGTCCCCCCTCTGACCCCTCCCCCACATACAGAGCCACAAAGAAGTAA